TGGGGGTTGGAGGCAGGAAGAGGAGTTTTCTCTTTCCACCTCCCCAACCCTACTACTGTAAAGAACAAGCCACTTCCAGCAGCTCTTCTCCTGCTTGGGTTTTTAAAGGAAGGGTGGGGTGAAGCTGTATGCTGGACCCTGCTCCTGAGGTTGCAGTCCTTCATGACCAGAAAGCCCTGAGCTTGGCTCTTCAAAATGGAGGACCCCCTTTGTCAGTGGGGCTCCCTCTTCCCTGCCTGATTTGGGGAGGCCAAACCCTCTACCTGAGGAATGTCACACAGTCCTTAGGAAATTACAGGTCCAACCCTCTTTCTCTCCTAAAGAACCTGTTCAGCAAGCATCTGGGATTCCTGGAAGGCCTCTCAGTATCGAAGCCCCTCGGCCAACAACCTCTCACCCCCGATATTCCTATCTCCTCTCCACATTCTATATAACTCTCCTTCACCCCTGATAAAATTGATCTACCTCCCCAAAGCTGATTTCCATTCATCTAAGGGGCTTCTGACCTCCCCATCTGTTGCCCCTGCTCCATTTGCCCTCGTGGGCAATGGATACAGGCTGATGATCCTGTGGGCAGGGAGGGTCACAGGTGTAGATTGCAAAGAGGAAGGAAAGCAAAAATGCCTTTGGAGTAGGACAAGAAAGCCCCAAGCAGGTGAGGGGATCATGGCCTTTTAAAGACAGCTTGCCAGCCTAGTGATAATGGGTATATTTGAGGGTTCTTTCTGGTAAATCCTTCTGCCAACTGGCAATGCCTTTGCCAGGAGACACCTGCTGGGTTTGGGTGATCAACTGCTCCTTGATCAAAATGCCTTGGCAGAGGGGAAAAAAAAAAAAAGCCACCTCAAGCAAAGGAGGTCCCCTTGAAGGCTTTCAGCGGGCCTGCCACTACTGCCCACCCAGCCTTCCCCATCCCTACATTGTATGCTTTAAATAGTCATCTCTCTCAACCTGAAATAGCAGCAGCCAAAAAGTCATTCTCACTTCTCTCACTTCTTTACTCCTGCTGTTAAATCAAATCTGTGCTTTGTGGGAAAGGAAATTGAAAGCTCTAAGAATCAAGATCAGGTCCAAGGCAGGTGTGGCGAGGCATGCCTTTAATCTCAGCAGGGGAATGTCTGTGTAAATAAGGCCAGCCAGGTAGGTCTACACAGTAAGTTCCAAACCAGCCTGAGCTACAAAAAAATGCACAAAGATGAGACGCATAAGACCGGTGAAAGATGGATAAAGAATCCCATCGTCAGCAGAGCGCACGCCTGTAATCCCAGCGCTCCGGGAGGCAGAAGCAGGAAGATCTCTGTGAGCTCAAGGCCAGCCTGGTCTACAAAGTGAGTTCAGTACAGCCAAGGCTACACAGAGAAACCCTGTCTCGAAAAACAGAAACGAACAAAACAGAATCCCATCGTCTTCAGAAGGATAACTCAAATGAAGGAGTTAAACAGTATCTCTGGGTCTCCAACATTCTCCCAGCGCTATGGCATTTTCAACCTTCCTTCCATTCATTCCTTTGATGTTTGCTCCCCCTCCCTGACAGCTTTCGATCTCCACTTGCGACCCATCCCTTCTTGACCTTCGGAGAGTTTTGCAGTTCCCTTGTTTTTCCTTCTCCCATCTCTCCAAGGTCCACACTAGAGAGCCCTCTAATTCGTCTACCTCCACCAAGGGAAGAAAACATGCATTGTCCCCTTCCAACCATAAATGCTCCTTCCTGAATCTGACTGAACTCCTGTTTCACTCCACCTTTCTCAGCCGCCCCTCCCCCACGACGCCAGACACTGCCCCCTCCCGCTACCATTATGCTCAGCTTCCTGATTCTCTTCAGAACCCACCCGTCCACTTTCAGCACCTCTTCCAGTCACCAGGTTTCTCCCAACCCGTCTCCAGACCATTTTCCCCAAACCTTTCTCTGCCCATTAACACTCCTCTTTCCCAGCATCCCCCTAGCTCCCTCCCCACCCCCATCTCATCCATCTCGGCCCCTCCCCAGCAACTCCAGCGGAAAGCATGGGCGTCGCCAACCCCTCCAATCTTTCTCATCACTCAACCCACCGCAGGCTACCTGCCAGGCCGGGCCGGGGTGGGGCCGCGGGTCCTCGCGCTGCCAGCAGCCTAGAACCCGTTGCGCGCCAACCGACTCCTCAATCCCCAACGAGATAAACACTGCCAGACTTCGTCCTTCCGGCGGCCAGAGGGACGCGCACGTGCAGTGAGAACCCTGGGCCCGACGCCTTCGGGGACTTGTAGTCCACAAATTACCTCAGGGCAGGGAGCTGGGGTGGGTGGGTGGGGCGTGGCGGAGTTTGCGCATGCGCAGAACACATCCGAGCGCCTGAGGGTCACTGGGTAATGTAGTTCTTTGTTGTCCGGGCAGGGGATGGCAGAGGTGGGGCGAGAGGCGGACTTCTCGTCCTCGTTTGCGTCAGTCTTGGGCCCGGGGCGGGGCTGGAGGACTAAGAAACCCAGCTGGTCCTGCCGCGCCGGAAGTGAAGGTGCGGGTCCGGCTGTGGGCTCTGAGAGGGTGAGGCGCGAGGAAATACCAACGCCGAGAATTAGTGGGGGCGGGTAGGGGACGCTGCAGCTGGGACCATTGAAGGGGAGCCCCTGGTCCGGAAGGGCTTTTGTCCGGCGGTACAGCGGTGCCTCGGAGTAGAGGGGATGAGGGGAGGAGACGCACTATCGTGGGTACCAGCGGTTACCGAGCCGGGGAGGGGCGTGGCGAGAGGGGGCGAGGTTCTGGAAAGGGTCTCGTCGGAAGTGGGGGAGTCCTCTGGTTTTCTGTTTATTTAGGAATCGGGAGAGTTAGAGACTAGTGGGCTCCAGTTCAGTACAAGAACCCAAACTTAAGACGGAGAGGCACGAGAGACGGGGGAGGGGAGGAAGTAAGACCCGTCAGACAGGGAAGTGGGTTTTCTGAACGTTGAAAGGAGACCTGGTTTCATCCAATCCCCCATCCTGCCTTTCTGTCCTTGCAGCCCCTGCCCGGATGGCAGCAGTAGTTCTAGGGGGAGACACCATGGGCCCGGAGCGTATCTTCCCCAATCAAACTGAGGACTTAGGGCCACATCAGGGTCCTACAGAAGGAACTGGGGATTGGAGCAGTGAAGAACCCGAGGAAGAGCAGGAGGAAACGGGAGCAGGACCAGCAGGCTACTCGTACCAGCCCCTCAACCAAGATCCTGAACAAGAAGAGGTGGAACTCGCCCCAGTGGGTGAAGGAGAAGATGGAGCTGCTGACATCCAAGATCGGATTCAGGTATGGTGGAATTGTTACTAAGGAGGTTAACAATTAGATTACAACATTTCACAGCAGCTGAAGCTGGACGCAAATCATCTTTGTGGTTCTGCAGGCCCTGGGGCTTCATTTGCCAGACCCACCAATAGAGAGCGAGGATGAAGATGAGGAGGGAGCTGCAGCATTGAGCAGCCACAGCTCTATCCCCATGGACCCAGGTAAAGCTCATTCTTTGATTTAGGATTAATTATGTAGGAAGTGGGTTGCCTTAAACGTAGCCGGGCATGGTGGCACACGCCTTTAGTCCCAGCAGAGGAATGCAGATGTGTTGAGTTTGAGGCCAGCCTGGTCTACAAATTAAGTTCCAGGACGGCCAGGGCTGTTGCAGAGTAAGCTTGTCTTTATCTAAAAACCAGAATCTAGGGCAGCTAGATCTGGGAATGGCTAGACCTGGCAATAACAGCACATGGACTTGATGACTCCAGGAGTTCAGGAGTCCTGGGTTGATTCAAGGAATCGAGAGAGGAAGTGGTCCCATTGTACCTATCCCCTAACCAGCCTTCGGCTATGCTTTCAGAACACGTAGAGCTGGTGAAAAGGACGATGGCTGGAGTAAGCTTGCCTGCACCAGGGGTTCCTGCCTGGGCTCAGGAGATATCGGATGCTCAGTGGGAAGATGTGGTCCAGAAAGCCCTCCAAGCCCGGCAGGCATCCCCTGCCTGGAAGTGACCACACAGAGACAACTGCCTTATCCCCCTATATTCCAAGCCAGGACCAGCAGCACAGGACTAACAACTCTGGTTCTAACATCCATCTCCCGATGTCCCTTTTCACATCAAGGCAAATCAGACCTCTCAGAGACCCACTTTATTCATTTCTGTACATATGGGGACATTGGCCCGAGCCCAACCCACCTTAGCATGTATCACTCTGTGGAGAATAAAGCACCCTATGTACACAGCCAAAAGCCGTACTGCCTGTGCCCCTGAAACCTGGTCCAGCCCTCCCCAGTCCTTTGCTTTTCTGAGTGCCCAAAGGGTACAGGTGAGGGCCTGCCCAGCATCAGCATAAACAAAGAAATAAATAGGCGCTGCAGGGAGCCATGCTTGGGGCACTGCTCCTGCTTCCTTCTCTATAGCTTTGGGAGCCAACAAAGGAAAGCAGTCAGCCACAGGGTGGTCCCTTCCAAATTGTGATCCCAGGACTGCTGCTTTCCAAAGAGGGGCAAGGTAGATGGTTCACTCTCCCCACCTTGGTCCACTGGGCCCTATAATTCATCTAGTGTCCATAACATTTTTCCTTTGACCTCTGTATTGGTAGGCGGAGGATAAAAGGAATTAACACACCACCCCCTGCCTGCATAATGCTAGGTCTAGGGGCCTATTTGTGCTGCTGGGGGTTGGTTATCCTCCAGGTCTTCACTCCTGGGCAATGGAGCTTGACGTAACTTTGGTGACAATCTCCTGCTTTGCCCTGCAGGGAGAGGAGAGACACCTCAACTTCAGATGAGGATGAAGGGAGAGGAGAGGACCATGGGATTCCCGTGTGTTTCTCAGAACAGTTTCAGGTAGCTGTGGGGTTAGGAGCAGGGGGACAGGCACCCCCAGGTGATCTAAGCACTGAGCACTCAGTGCTCAGCCTGTCTCAACTAGCCACAGGGAGGCATGAACACATTTAGGGGAGAAGGGGGAGCACTCTGGGCACCCCTGCTTCCAGTGCCTGCATCCTCTAGAGTAGCCAGAGAGGTGCTGTTTTGCCCCGGGTCAGCCGATAAGGAGCAGAGGGTGGAGGGCCGGGCTGCGTCCCCAGTCTGAGTGGGCTGTGACCCTGTGGGAAGGTGAGGGGTCAGAGAGCTTCCTGGCTGGCAGTTAGGAAGTCTTCTGCCCGCTTGTGTGCCTCTAGTGCCTTGATGGTGTACACGTCCTGTGGCAGCTCTGACTTCCTCCGGAGCAGTACTTTGTCCTTCTTGATGTCCTTCAGCATCTGTGTGTGGATGGATAGGGAGATGGCCAGGAATGGTGACCAGTTCCCAGGGAATCCATTTCCTCCTCTGGTTCTGCTGTCCTGTCTCCTCTCTCTCTAGACCTGTTACTGCTGTCCCAACCTGACCTTTTCCCCCCCGGTGCCCCCTCACCTGCACAGCCTCCGTTTCCACTGTTCTCTTCAGAAGTTGGATGTCCTCTGCTGTGGGGGTCTCTGTCTCCATGGAGTACACAGGGGGCAGTGGTGGAGGGGCGCGGAACATAGGGTACTGAGGGGCAAGTCATGGACAAACAGTGAGAAGCACTTCGGAGCCTTCGGTGGGCCTATTTGCCTCATTCTTCCTCCAAAATCTCTCCCCAACTTCTAAAGGGACCGCCTGGGTTAAGGGCAGCAGCTAAAGGCCTCACCTGGGGGTTGAGCCTGGCCAGCTCCTCAATCTTCTGCCACATCTCCTCTCTCTCCTTCATTCGGAACCGGCCCCTGAGAGAGGAACAGTAGGACTGGGATTGAGACGGGGGACAGTGAGCTGGAGGTAGAAGGTGACAATCCTCTCAGGAGAGAGAGACTCACTTCTGCTTCTCTGCCTTGTACTGCTGTGTACAGTCATCAAATAGCTTCTGGTTCATCTCCATGAACAGCTTCAGGGCATTGTAGATGAGTCCATGAATTGTCCTGCCACAGAGAAAGATGACGTTCGAGAGGCCAGAGCGCTAGCAGTGCCACAATCAACTGCAGTTTGCTTGGTTCCCAGTGTCTGCCAAAAGCTTTCTCGCTTACTGAAAGCTCCCCCTCACAAACCTCTATGCTGTAGGAGCAGCTAACCCTAACTAGATCATGTGCCTTAGAGCATTCTGTGGCTCTCACAGAAGCCCGAACCTTCCTTGCTCGTGCCTCATGGCTTCCCAGTAACACAGAGGGCTGTCGTACCACACTAAGTCGGCTTTCAGCAGCAGGAAAGCCTTTCCATCATGGATTCTTTATGCGTTGTTAAAGCCTATCACATAGTTCCCACATTCCCAGAATGTCCCCAAGGCTGTGGTAGGACACAGGTACTGCAGGGATGTCTCAGCGCCTTTTCTTGGCACTCAACCCCATAAGATCCTACTTAGTAATACTTGGTGGGCACCAGCTCTCGCAGAGTGTCCAGCTGAGATCCAGGTCTCTTGAGTTCTACACCCTCAAAGGTTTGACTACCCAGGTCCTACCATCAGCCCAACCCCAGTGCCCTACTTGTTCCAGTGGCTTTTGGAGTTCCTATAGAGAGCAGGGAACATGATGGGGAGAACTCGGGCAGCGTTGTCACTGATCAGGCTCATGATGTACTCATTGTTCCAGTAGTAGAGGGCGCGCTCTGCCACCTGGCAAGGAGAAGTGCAACTCAGTAGGCGCTCGAGTTCTCAAGTTCTCAAGACCTGCTCCGCCATGTCTGGGAGACAGTGGGTTTGGCCTTACCTGAAAATGGGGGCTGGAGACACACTTGGCAAGTTGGCGGAAGAGGGGCTCCATCACTTTGCTGAACTCTGAGGGTTCAATGACATCCAGAATCTCCTCTAGCTCGTTCAGAAACATCACCTCCTTGGGGCTGTGGGTCTTAGGCCAAAACTTGAGAAGTCCCACAATCACCTGTGAAGGCAACATGAGGCTAAAACTCTACAGTTCTCTGGAAGCCTTTGTATTGCCTTTTCCCTTGCCTTCCCCCAGCTAACCACATGGCTTCTCTGGCTTAGACTGATTCTGAGCATATAGGTTTTGATTCCCCTGAGAGGAAGCCACATGGCTCGGGCCTCCTGAGCATCCACTTTATTACTCGGTAATAAATCCACAGCATTACTCAGTAGTTACAGACGGAAGCTAGGAGTACTGTTCAGCAATAAAGCTCTTACCCGAAATGTACAAGGCCCTAGGTTTGTACATGGCCAATACCACAAACAACAGAAACAAACCCAGCAGGTACAGATGGGCAAACATTGCTGGTGACTGGGCCCCAGAAAGGAAATTACCGGCTCAGTGAGACTGCTCTCCTTCTCCAGGAACTGTACCACACAGTATGCCAACTGCAAAAGATTGAGGGTGGGAGTGAAACTCAGCTCTCGGTGACAGACAAGATCCCAGAATGGAAGGGGAGGTGCAGAGGATTTCCCACAACCACTCTTCTAAGGCAGGAGGAATCCCTCCCTCCCCTTTGTTTCTGGTGCTCTGGTGAGGGATCCTCAGAGGAACATGGCTCACCTGAGGGTGATATACGCTCAGGGACTTGACTTTGTGTAGTGGAAGCAGGACACGGATGAGAAACATCTTGTGCTCTTCCTTAAGGGGCAAGGCAAAGCCATTGATGATGCTAGAAGTCAAGGGACATTTTTAAGATCAAAGGCTGATGTCCAAGCTCAGTGTTCGCATGCCCCAATCTTCTATGGCATCTGCCCTCCCCGACTCACCTGCCGAGGATCTCCAGCAGCTCAGCAATCCCATTGTGATGTTCAGTCTCATAAATGAACCTAAGGAAAGAAGGCCCTCTTGACACTAGCCCTCCAGCATTCTGCCATCTTCCCTGCCTTCCTGTCCCCACCCCACCTCAGCAGGGGCATGCTATGCTCCCAAGCCTGGGCTCATTGCCTCACCTGTAGAAGATGTGGTTGATCTGCCTACGAATATAAGCCCGGAGCCCCAAAAACTTGCCATAGATGCGATGCAAAATGGTCTTGAGAAAATCCCGCTCTCGAGGGTCCTCGCTGTCGAACAGGTCCAGGAGCTAGGAGAGCAGGAGGTTAGGAAAGGCAGAGAGTGAGGCAGCAGCCAGGGAGGGCATGGGCTGCAGTCACAGGGGCCTTCCCAGGGGAAGTCCCAAAGTTCTCTGGGCAGTGGGGTCAGATCATATGACTCATCCAATGTGTTGTCTGGGTATGCATGCTTAGACCCCGCTGGGTGGAGAGGAGCAGTGTGTTGCCCCTCCCTCAGGTACACTAGAAGTTTCTTTGGGAGCCTCGTGCCAGACAGCTGAACTCCCAGTGTAATGAGAGTAAGGGGAAGAAGCAGGCAGCACACAGGGGAAGGCATATGGGGCTATGGCTCATGGGAAAGACAGGAACCTCAGACTCACAGCAAGTACAAACTTCTGGTCAATGTACTTCTTGGCTATGTTTGGCTGGAAATCTGGAGACTCCAAGAACCGTAAGAAAAACTCATACACGAGCTGTGGAAGAGAAGCTTCACTGAGACATGACATAAGACTGGGAGACACCCCCTTGCTGCAAGCCTGAGTGACCCTGTTTCCTGTCGTCAGGCCCATCCTGTCCCTTTGCCCTGGTACCTGGAGATGTGGCCAGGCAGCTTCCAAGGTAGGCTCATCTTCCTCAGGGTCAAACTCTGCTCCTGTGGGATTCGATGAAGGAGGCAGCGTCCGGAAGAGATTCACTGAAAACTGAGGGGTGAGCCCAACTTAGAGCAGTGTGTAGGCTTCTCCAGGGGCTCCCCCCACCATGTCCTTTCCTTGTGCCCACCATGGTGACAGCCTCAGGGTAGATGGCCTCAGTGACAACATCCCGGCTGTGGGTGATGTACTCCACCATTTCATTGAGTCCTGCCCGCTTCACCTCTTTGAACTTGAGGTCACTGAGTGGGTCTGACACGAAGTCAAAGAGGACACAGCACTGGCGTAGCTTCTGGATGAACAGCTCCTCGCGCTCCTGGGTTGGCGAGTCTGTGGAGGCCTCAGCAGTCAGGTGTGTCCCACCATTCTTCATGCATGGCCCATCTGCCCATTGTGGCTTTTCCCTTCCCACCCTGACACCATTCTGGTCCCCGCACCTCAGCCACAGCTGCACCTCTCACATCCATAGTACATGCTTTTCCCAAAGATAGACTCCCCAAATCAATCCTCATGGCCCCAAGCCCAGTTCATCCGTCCCTGGCTGGCTGTGAGTACCTTTCAAGGCAGGAAGCTTCTGCAGCTCCCGGTTCTTGCTGAGGTTGAAGCGGGAGGAGCTTTGGCGTCTTTCTTTCTTGACAATCTGGGGTCCTCCTGAGTACTTGATTTTGCTGAGTTGTGTTGGGGGTGGTGTGCTGTTGCTGGGACGCTTGTTGGATGATGGTGGCTGAGACTGAGGCTGGGGCTGGGCCTGGGCATAAAAGTAATTTGTTGGTGCCAGCTCTCCAGAAGATGCCCTCTACCCTGGCCTTCACCATCTACCATCCCTAGCCTATTCATGCTTGTAGAGAGGTAGTGAGTTATCCCTGCCCAGAAGGAGATAGGCCAGGGACAGAGATAACTGCGGTTATAGGTCCAGAGTACACTGGCCAAAAGTTAACAGCCTTAAGTGTTCACATCAGGAGAAGGCAAAACAAACTGGAAGGACGACAGAAATCAGAAAAGTAGCTATCAGGGTGAAGGTCAGCTTGTCTAGCACGTGCAAGGCTGAATTCCGTCCTCAGGATGGAGAAAAATGTCAGGCACCTTCTCCACAATGGAAACACACACACTATGTCTTGAGGACATTTGGAAGTGCAGTGTGCTGCGTGCCTGACAGTTCACTGACTACTTGGACTGGGGAATGCTTTGTAGCCTCCAATTAAAAAAGTAGAAGAGAAAGTCATTCTTGAGTCTCAGCAGTTTATCAGAAACTTACTTTAATAACAATCCTAAAGAGAGAGAGAGAGAGAGAGAGAGAGAGAGAGAGAGAGAGAGAAAGGAAAGAAATAAAGAGAAAGAAGGAAAAAAAGAAAAGAAAAAATGCCCTGGGACCAGTTAAATGGCTCAGTGGATCAGAGCATGCGTTGCTCTCATAGAAGACCTGGGTTGGTCCCCTGTACCTGCAATAGATGGCTCACAACTACCTGCACCTCTTTTATTTTTAATTATTTACTTTTATTATGTGCACTGGCATTTTGCCTGTACAAAGATGTGTCAGATCCCTGAGGATGGCATTACAGACAGTTGTGAGCTACTGTGTGAGTACTGGGAATTGAACTCTGGTCCACTAGAAGAGCAATCAGTGTTCCTAACTGCTGAGCCATCTCTCTAGGCCCCCTACCTGCACCTCTTTAATGCCCTCTTCTGGCCTCCAAGGACATCAAGAATGCCTGTGGTGCACATACATAATTACAAGCAGACAAAACACTCATACACATAAAACCAATAAATCTTTCTTGTTTATTTTGGCTTTGGAGACAGTGTTTCTCTGTGTAATACTGGCTATCCTGGCTAAAAATAATAAATGTTTAAAAACAATAATTGAGTATTATGCCCACATGTCCCAGAATTTGGGAGGTAGAAACACAGGGATCACTATTTCCCAAGCCAGCCTGGGCTGCACACTAAGACCCTGTCTTAAAACAACAAAACCCCACGGAGCCAGTGTCATTTTAGACAATGCAAGGCCCTTGGTTTGTGTGTGCTTGTGTGTAATATGTGTATATACATGTCCTTGTGTGTGAATGCAGGCGTGTGAGTGTCACAGTGCATGAGCATATGGATGTCAGATGACAATAAGGGTGTTACTTCTTGACATTCATCTTGTTTGAGGCAGTGTTTCCTGTTCACTGCTGCATAGGCCAGGCTAGATGGCCTGTGAGCTTCCCAGAGTTCTCCTGTCTCCCACTTTGCTGGAGGCTCACTAGCATTGCAAGTGTGTGCCCTCATCAGTCTTCACATGGTTCTATGGATGGAACTCTGCCCCATCTAGCAAAGTCCCTGACTCCCAAGGCCCAGTGAGGCACCTCCTGCCTGTCTGCCCTTTGCATGCTTGTCAGAAACCGAATGTGTGGCTGTGACAAACACTCAAGCATTTCTTCCAAATCCTCCAACTTCTAATATGTCTCCACTGTCCTGAAGTGGATAGGAGACACATGAGCCCCCTAAGAACTGCAGCCATCACAAGGGTAGCTGACCTAAGACAACACAGCCTTTCTGCCTTCCAAATGGACATTGTCCTGTTTAGTCGCTCTGAGACTGCAGAGGACTGAAGTACCTTCCATTGCAAAATCTACACCCACCCAGGAAGCCTTCATGTACCTGCACCCCCTTGCCTCTACCTCCCAAGTGTGGGTACCTCCACAGCAGTTTATGAGGCACTGGGCATAGAACCCAGGGCTTTGTGCATGCTGGCAAGCACTCTACCAACTGAGCTATACCCCTAGCCACCACTGTAAGAAGTAATTTAACAGAAAGATGAAACATAAAATTATTAGAAAAAGAAGCTGGGCAAAGTGGTACATGCCTCTACTCCTAATTATGCAGGAGGCTAAGGCAGAAAGCTCAAGAATGTGAGACCAGCCTGGGCAACACAGGCAAGACCATAGCTTAAAATTACAAAATGCACAGATGGAACATGGTGGTTTATACCTTTAACTCTAGCACTCAGGAGGCAAAAATCAAAACTATCACTGCAGGTTGAAGCCAATCTGAGCTACACAGCAAGACTCTGGTGCCAAAAAAAAAAAAAAAAAAAAAAAAAAACTAACAAAGGTGCTCAGTCAGTAAAGGCACTTGCCCCCAAGACAGATAACCTGAGGTCAATATTCAGGACCCAGTTGGTGGAAGGACAGAATCAACTCTCACCAGTTGTTCTGTGACCTGTGTGCCAACACACAATAAATACAGAAATAAATGTAATTTAAAAAAACCCAGAAGCACAGATTGCGTGCTGTGTCTACTGCATGATGAATTAACTGGTTTAAGAAATGCAGACCATTTTAGGTTAAACCCTGAGACTCACAGAGGCGTCTCCTCCCTCTGTGACGTCCAGAGCTCCACCTAGCCCTGTTCTCTCCATCCTTCCTTCTCTAAACACCCCGCCAAGCACTGAAGAGAAAGGTGCCTAGAACAGGGATAGCCCTGGCCTTTGAAGTGCTCAGAGACCGGTAGGTGAGGCAAGCACAGAAGCAGCTAGTGGTAACTGGAAACTCCAGAGCAGAGACCACACAGGCTGTGGAAACACGAGTGGGTTACAAATTGCCTGCAAGAAGAGGTGAATTTTAAAAAAGATTTGTTTAAAAATTATGGGGGGTGTGTGTGTGTGTGTGTGTGTCTGTGTGTGTGTGTCTGTGTGTGTGTGTCTGTGTGTCTGTGTCTGGAGTTACGGTTGGTTGGGAGCTGCCCACGTGCTAGGATGCTCACTTAGGTCCTCTGCAGGATCAGCAAGGGTCCTTAACCACTGATGCATCTCTTCAGAACCCTGAAGGGGTGAGTTTTGATTTAGCTCTTAAAGGATAAAGCTCGGCCGGGCAGTAGTGGCGTACACCTTTAATCCCAGCGCTCTGGAGGCAGAGGTAGGCGGATCTCTGTGAGTTCGAGGCCAGCCTGGTCTAGAAAGTGAGTTCCAGGACAGCCAGAGCTAAAACAGAGCAACCCTGTCTCAAAATAAGTAAATAAATAAATAAAAGGATAAAGCTTAGTTAAGAAGCACAAAGAGACAGACGGGGGCAGGGGGATAAAGCAAGTCCAGAGCAGTTGGAACTACATGTAGGAGGGCCTGTTACAGAGGAGCTTGCTGTTTCAGGAGCCTGGACAATAACAGAGTAGATGCTAGAAGAACAAAATGGAGCCAACTCAGAAAGGCTGTGGACTTTGGATTTTAACTTTGGGAGATGCCAAATTTTAATTTGTTTATTTTTTAAATAGGGTCATACATTATAGCCCAAGTTGGGCTGGAACTTAATGTATCAACCAGGCTGGCCTTGACTTCACAGCAATCATCCTGCCTTCGCCTTCCAGGTGCTACGACTATGTGCAGGAATGAGCTCACCTAGCTTAAACCACACCTGCTCAAATTAGACTTCAGTGGGTTTGTTTTGAGACAGGGTCTCTCTATGTACTCCTAGCTGGCCTGGAACTAATGATGTAGACCATGCTGGCCTTGAACTCACAGAGATTCACCTGCCTCTCCGTCTGGAGAGCTGGGGTTATTGCTGTGGGCCACCATACCAGCTCAAACTAGTTCTGAAGTAGAGAACTTGGCTGAGAGTACAGCTCAGTGGTAGAACAGGGGCTTTGCCTGAACGACACCCTGGGTTCAATCCCCAGTACTCCAAAGAAAAAAGGAGAGCCATAAAAACCAAAAAGGTTTGAGGATAACAACGATGGCCTTGGAGCCATGTGGGGAGACTGGAGCATTTCTCCCCCCGCCCCCATCCCTGCACCGAGAACTCAGGACAACAGCACAATAAAGAGTCTACTGTTTCCAGAGTTAGAGCAGAGAAGACCCTCCACGGCAGGACAGCGAGTCTCACCTGACCCCTCAAAGCCACTAGGATCCTCCTCTAGAGTCTCAGAGACAGCTCATCCTTTAGCCCATGAACCCCAGCCCTGCCATTTACTCACAGTAAAGGCTGTTCACTCTGAGCCTCTAGCTCATCTGTAAAATGGGAGGGATAAGAGAAAGCTCCTAGAGGAATGCAGTGACAGTCAAATGTGCATGGGAAGTACTAGGTAGTGTCCAGTGCTAAGTACGCTGGTCTACTAGCAACTTTTGTGTCAACTTGACACAAACCAAAGTCACCAAAGAGGAAGGAGCCTTAGTTGAGAAAAAAATGCCTCCACGAGATCCAGCGGTAAGGCATTTCTCAATTAGTGATCAATGGGGTAGGACCCAGACCATTGCGGGTGCAGGGTTCTGTAAGAAAGCAGGCTGAGCAAGCCATGGGAAGCAGGCCAGTAAGCAGCACCCCTCCATGGCCTCTGCATCAGCTCCTGCCTCCAGGTTCCAGCCCTGCTTCAGTTGCTGTCCTGACTTCCTCCGATGATCTGGGAGTGTATGCCAAATAAACCCTGTCCTCCCCAACTTGCTTTTTGGTCATGGCGTTTCATCACAGCGACAGAAACCCTAACTAAGACAGCTGGTTGAGCTGTGTCCCACCCAAATTTGTGCCTACCCTGAATCTTTGAATGGGACTTCACTTGGAATAGGGTCTTTACAAGGGAAAAGGAGCTCTTTGTACTGGGCTGCATAGGATGGCCCTAATGACTGGTGTCCTTTTCAAAAAGAGGTTCAGATAGCGACCAGCACACACACAGGAGGAAGGCTGTGTGAGGGAGGAGCTGACGTATGTAGAAGACAAGTGCCAAAGACTGCTGAAAGCCAGCGGGAGGAACAGAACAAACCTTCTCCAGAACCTTATGACAGGACTGGGCAACGCCCTCGGAGTAAGTGCTTGCTATGTGATTGCAGCAAACACTTTTGGATGCCCAGGACCCCCCTAAGCCAGGTGGGCATGGCAGCACACCTGTAATCCCCAGAAGCAAGGACAGAGCCCCTGGAGCCGCGGTTCTCACCCTTCCTGACGCCGCAACCCTTCACAAAGGTTCACATGTTGCGGTGACCCCCAACCAGAAGAAAATCATTTCATTGCTACTTCATAACTGTAATTTTGCTACTGTTATGAGTTGTGGTGTAACATCTGACATGGCCCCTGTGAAAGGGTTGGCTACCCACAGGTTGAGGACCACTGCCTACAGCAATCTGGCTAGTCAGCCCTAGGTTCAGAGAGAACATGTCTCAATATATAAGGTACACAGAGGCTGAAGAAGACAACACAAATAAGACAGCAACTGAAGAGGACATCTGAGGTCAGCCTCCGGCTTCCACATGCATGTGAACACACGCTCATGCACTTCCACACACACGTACATACATGCACATACCACACACACATACACACACAACAATTAAATTTAAACCATTTAAATAAAAGAGACCAATGAGATGAGATGGTTCATTGTAAAGGGCGCTTGCCACAGAGCCTGAAGACCTGAGTTCAATCCCTGAGTCCTACAGAGTAGATGGAGAGAACCAACTTCCGTAAGTTGTCCTTTGACCTCCACCAGTGTACCTTGGTGCTTGACACACACACAGGAAACAAATAAATAAACCTGAGTCAAAAAAAAAAAAAAAAAAAGGAGATGTAGTCTCAAAAATAAAGTTCAGGCTGGCTTTGAATTCACAGAACTCGGCCTGCCTCTGCCTCCCAAGAGAGCACAGCTATACACTCCATCCCAAAGTTTTAAAGTCTGAAGAAAAGAACCTCAAAAGCTAGAAAGATGTCTTAGAAGCACTTGCAGAGGAACCCGTGTTCAGGTCCCAGAAACCATGTCAAGCAGCTCACAACAGCTTGTAACTCCAGCTACAGAGGATACGATACCTTCTGGCCTCTGCAGGTACGTGCTCACAGATACACACACATACACACAATTTAAAATAAATTTAGAAAAAGATCTCAGGCCACGCCTTTTATGCTACCCTGACTTCAGACTTCTAGCCTCCATAACTCTAAGACAATTAGTTTCTGCTGTCCTGGGCCCCCTGGTATACGTTGATCTGTTTTGGCTGCCTTGGAAAACTAATACAAAATAACTGCTCAGTAAAGTAAATTACTAGGAATGATTGACAAACACTCTGGCAAATGCTTGACATAGTGAGTCTGGCCAGAAAAGCCCAGAGTTACACTAGAAAAAAAGGCAGGGGAGAGCTAGGGTGAACCGTATTTTAAAACCCTGGCCTCCGGGCTGGAGAGACAGCTCAGCAGTTAAGAGCACTGGCTGCTGTTCCAGTGGAGGTTTGTTGCCCAGCATCCACGTGGCTGCTCACAACCATCTGTAGCCCTGTTGGGGGATCTAATACTCCTCTCTTCTCACCTCCACAGATAGCAGGCACGCCCATGGTACACAGATACTCATGTAGGCCAAACATCCATACACATAAACATTTAAAAAAGAGCATGGCCTCATAACCCGCCCCCAGCTGTCTCAGCATTTCTGTCATCCATCTGTGAGTACCTCTCTGGAAAGTCATGAAGTAAAATTCCTGCAGCTGCTTCATACAGATAAGTCCTGGGAGAATTCACATAAAACCAGAACCCAAGGTGAACTTGACACCCTCCTTTTCTAGTGGGGTGAGACAAAGACCTGGAGAGCCCACAGCACACTTCTCAGCCTCACCAAGCCTTGGTCTCCCCACTTCCTGAGACCTCCCCTCATTCACCAGCTTACACCTTCAGTCACCACATTCAATGTGTGCTCCCCATACGGCGCGTGGCAGGTACCTTCCTCCTGAAGCTCCCACACTCGTAAGCAGTGAGCTCACCAGGAACTATTTACCTGCAGTTGTGGAGTGCATCCAAGGGGCTGGGGGACAGAACAGCAGCTCACAGGGACCCTGACCTTGCCCTGGGGATGATGGTAAGTGGTGAAGGCAGGCTGCTCTAAGCAGATAACAGCCAGTGTGCCTAATAACTAGAAGAATGTTAGGCAGAAGGTGGGAAAGGCGTGTTGAGTGTTCTTCCTCTCTGAGTCTCTCTTGCTGCTTTGTTGTTGTTTGTTTTTGTTTTGTTTTTTTAAGAGAAGGTTTCTCTGTGTAACAGTCCTGGCTGTCCTGGAACTTCCCTGACTGGCCTTAAACTCAGAGAGATCTCCCTGCCTCTGCCTCCCAAGTGGTGGGATTACAGGCGTGAGCCACCATGCCCGGCTCCCCTTGCTGTTTTTAATATTGTCACTAACTGTCAGCTACTTTCCCAGTAGGTCCCGTCAATACCATCCATCACCTCTGAAAGGAAGACTGAGCCCCGAGGGTGTATTACAGACACATTTGCTATGACCCACAGTGAGTGCACAGGTGTGCGGTAGAAGCTACACACCACCATACAGCTCTTCCCCAGTTCACACCAGGTCGGGAGACCATGAGAACAAATCGTTACATCTGGTGAGAAGGACCAGTCCAGAAATTGTGCAGATTACTATGCGAGCAGACCCTTCCCACAGCCGTAGTAATCATTACTTTGTTGTGGTTTTTAACTGCTGGAGTCCACAAGAAACCTGGCCTAGTTCTTCTGATTACTTTGCAAGTCCTAAAACAATGGTCACAATGTAAACATTAGTTGGATCTCTTTAGAGGGGACAGGAACAAGAAGTAGCCTAGAAAATCGATAGTTAACTGCAAACACTTGTCAATCAATCTCATTTCCCAGAGAAGGCACAAGACCAGCCAGAAACTAAGACTTCTGCTTCCTGAACAGTTTAGAGAGGTTGGAGAGAACAGAGAGCAGACAGCAGCTCCTACACACTCACAGGCTGTCCAGCAAACAAGCATCCGCTGACCATACCACACAAGGGCATCCCTGAACTTCCCTAAGCTGCTCTACTCTCTGGTGTCTTGTTTGCCTGTTCATTGCTTTATGGCTCTAGACTGCTGAGCTGTGTTGACCTCTGTTCATGACTGTCCTTTGGTCACTCGGAGATCAGGAGAGTGGACCCAGCCCTGCGCAACTCAGGGACAGCAGCCACTCCCGAGCCCCTGCCCCACCCAGGTCCATACCAAAGGGACTTGTCATCCCACGAGGCAGTTACAGTTTTCCCCTTTTTGCCATGACCATAAAAATCCCGGCCCCCCACCCTTGAGTCAGGGTCTTGCTGGCCCAAACCTGTGATCCTTTCCATTTTTTAATTTGCCCTAAGAAAAAGACATTTGTGTGTGTGTGTGTGTGACTCACATATGTGTGTGCCATTCATGTGTGTCACTCGTGTGTGTGTCATTTTGTGTGAGTGAGAGTGTGTGTGTGTCTGTGTGTGTCCATACATGCACACTGGAAATTAAACCCAAGGCCTTAGGCATACTAAGCATGGGTTCCAATGCTGGCCATACCCCTAACCACTGAAAAAGGAGTCACCGACACTGAAAAGTGGCAGGCAGAAAACAACTTCTAGGGGAATCTAAGGAATCTGAATGGACCGGAGTACTTATTTGTTCTACATAGCTGAAGCCTGCCCAAGAGCAGCTGAGACTTGCACCCTCCCTTCTGCCTGTGTGACCGTCCCCTTCAGAGCCTTCCCCTCATCGAGATGCTGCAGCTAGCCCGTGCACTGAAACCAGGGCCATGCTGACATCTTTTACCTCATCTGTGTTCTCCCCTCCACCATCCTTGCTTGAGCTGCTGGGCTTGGCTGTGCCTTTGGCAAGCTTGGGGGGTTCCTGCTGGGAGAAGATGGAGTTAGGGTTAGCAGAGGCTAAGAGAAAGGACAGACCTTACTTGAACCATTAAAACTTATTTTTTTGTCCTGGGGATAAAACCAAGGGGCTTGCCTATGCCAGGCAAGCACTCTATCACTGAGCTGTATTGCCAGTCCCCTTCTAGGTCTTTGTTTTAACTGTGTACTGTCCAACTGAATCAGTTAAAACCTACTGCATCAGCTGGGCATGGTGGCAAATGCCTTTCATCCAGCACTCAAGAGGTAGAGGCAGGCAGTTCCAGGTCAGCCTTGTCTAAAAAACAAGTTCCTGATCAGCCAGGGCTATACAGAGAAACCCTGTCTTGAAAAACCAAAAATAAATAAAAACTCTACTGTATCAACCCTGGGACACACAAGGAGATTCAGCCCCTCCAGGCAGCTTAGATTCTGGTTAGGAAGTCAACCTCAGCATAATAATTAAACACGACAATATTCTTTCATCTGTCTCCTCACGAGGCTAGTGAATAGCTTAGGCTGAAGCAGCCCTCAGTCAGGAAAGAACTAAGGTGAGATGGCTTCAGGGAATAGTATCTGGTCACAAGCTGGTCAGACTGGCTTCTGGGCAAGTTGGTCAGAGGTGCCCAAGGCTCCCACACGAGAGCAGAGCAGAAACCACCTCTCTCCCCTCAGGGTCACCGAGAAAGACTCAGAGGCATTTGTTTAGTTGTCATAAGCAGCACCCAGACAAGGGGGTGCTATTGGCATATAACAGGATGCTTAGTGTGGAAGCGTCCCAACCCAAAATGTTAAGAGTGCCTCGGGCAACAAGCATGGGGATAGAGATGGAGGTGAAGTCCTGAATTGTTAACAACTGTGAGCACCAATCTATAAAGGTTCCCTTGGGAACCTGGCAACTGGCTGAGAGCCCTGGCTTGTCCAGCATCTCTTCCCATGCTCTTGGCCAAAAAAAAAGCAACCACACAGGGACAGGATGGGGAGAAAGTGAAAGAGACTCGAGGATGTAGCTCTGACTGCAAGCTCAACACAGATCAATGCTGTGGCATCAGCTGCAGCTCTTGGAACCTTCCACCCAGTTAACAGACCTATGTGGCATGCTTGGCCAAGCTAGATGGGTCCAGTTCAGTCATGGGCATGAGCCTATGGAAGGGGCAATAAGAAATCCTAGATTTTCTTAAAGGGAAATACAGCCCATTCTAGCAGTGTGGTCAGAAGCTCGGCCTGAAATGCCGCAGCTGCAGTAACTGTAATAGTTAACAATAGAAGGGAGTAGAAGGGAGGAGGGTGGGGGAGCAAGATGAAGCTTAACTGGCAGAGGAAGGGCTGCCATGTGCATCAAAGACACAACTTATCCCCGGGGACCCAGAGGCACAAGAGAAATGGGCTGGCGACACAAGAGGACAGACTGAGGCCAGCAGGGATGGACTTTCTCATGGTGCAGTTGTGTGGAAACAGACTGCCCAGGGAGGCTGAAAGCTCCTGGTCCTGAGCATCTGCGAAGAGGCTGGATGACCTCCTCTAAGGCAGGTTGCGAAACAGTTCAGCCTCAGATGTGAGTTGGATCGGAGGGCCTTGGAAAGCACTTCCAGCCCCGAGAGTCTGCAATTCAACAGCAGCCAAGCCCCTTCAGGGAGAAGTGTTAAATCAAGTGATTGTGACTATGGGGCACCCGGATCTCAGGGAGAAGCGAGCTCTGTGTGGGCTGGAATAGGGGGAAGGCTTTCTGGGGGCGGAGAGGGAAAACCATTCCCGGATGGGGAGCAGCTTGAAGCTCTGTACAAGGAGGAAGGGGGTTCTTTGGGTGAGCACTCTCCCACTGCCTACTGACCAGGCTGGCCCCACTGACTCCTGTCAGTTGCTCACAGCAAGTGGTGGAGAGGGAAAAAAAAAAAGGCAGCCAGAACACAACATCAAAGCGACGGACAGCACACAGCAGACATGGGTCCTCCAACAAAGCTGACCCACCTTCATTCAAGTCTGGTCTCTATACTTGATCATAAGCTGCTTATTCTTCGTTTGTCCCTCCACCCACCTCATGGCACTCAGCATGACGCCTGAGACACATCTCTCAGGGAATGTGCCTGAGAGATTCAGCTGCCTTGGTGTGTGGGTGTGAGTGGGTGTAGGGGAACAGGGCCCACGAGCCTTGCTCCCTGTCTTCTGAAGAACAGGTGAAGCGCACACACTGTGGCCCAGCCCAGCTGTCGCATGATGGGAGGCGCTGGGCTTTAGAGCCAGCACTGTGTTTTGAGCTCAAGTCTTATTAGTTATGTGAGAGTGAGGAGGTACCTAGCCTCTCTGAGCCTCATTTTCCTCATCTATTAAACAAAAACAATAACAGCACACACACCTCTTAGCCCAGTGCCAGTGCACAAAATCCTAATGTTATTAGTATGATTATTATGAACAAGAAAGTGGGAGGGTGCAGGGGTACTTCATGCAGGAAAATAAAAGCCCTAGATCTAATCTCAAAAGAGAACGGTCCTAATCTCCCCAAAGACTGACTCAGCACAACCTACTAAGCACCTACTGTGTGTAAGGGAGATACCAAACCTCAGCACAGCTTAATTACTACCTTAAGGAAGAAGACAAGAGCACGATTCATTCCCACCCAAGGCTGAACACTTAAGTCTCTAAGTGGACCCAAGTGAAGGCTCGGGAAAGATTTCACAGAGCAAGCAGGGAAGGGACAGCAGAGATAAAGGAGAAAGGGGACAGGTGATGGATGAGCAATAAGGAGCCTCCACCCACCTGTCTTTGTGCCTCCATCCCGGTACACCTCAGTCACATTGTCATCTCTCTCCCCCTCAGAACCTGAAGGAGGCCAAACGTAGCCAGGAATCCAGTGTAGGCATTAAGGCTCATAAAGGGCTCCCTGTCTACCCCCATGCACCCCAAACCACCAACTCACTCATGGCCTATGGAGGTCAGAGAACGTCTCCTCCAATTCTCAAGCATCACAGGCAAAGGCTTTCTACAGACGGGACAGGATCTGGTCCACAGACTGAAAACTACAGATGGTCACAGATCCCACTTCTTCATCCCAACTCCACACTCATCGGTTCCCAGCTTAGCTCTCCTGAGTGCGCAGTGTCTCCAGCCGATTGGCCCAAACCACGCTGGCAAGCCCGCTCCCCAAGGACAGGGCCTGGGTAGCGCATACAGCTCAGCCCAGCTCAACACTTGGTACACCATCACCAGCCCTACGCTCTAAATCTCAGACTCTTGAGAAGTTACGGTGACAGAGCCACATGGCAAATCCACAACAGGATGAGGAGTCTGACTGATAACGTCAGAGATGGAAGCAAAGCGGCTCAATCGGGGGGAAAATGAACACAGTCCACCTCTGGGGTCTCCAGGAGAGTGGCCCACAATGCCAGGCCTGAGCCAGGCAAACACAAGGGGCCAGCCTCAAGAGAAGAAAAGCCGGGGGAGGCTGGAACTGCTATCCCGGCATCCATTCCCACATAAGTCTGCGCCTCACGGGAACCACACCTGAGTCAGATCTCAGCAACAGCAGGAAACAAAGGGTAAGAAAAGACAGGGATGAGGAACAGATGAGGGTGGTATGGAGGCAGAAGGTGAACGAAGGCAACAAGAAACGGCCTGTGGGGCTGGGAGTGTAGCTCAGTGGTACTGCACATGTTTAGCATGTGCAAAACTCTGGGCTTGATCTCTATCATTGCAGATAATTGGCCTGTGTAAGGACATTACAACAAAGTATGCATGTCCAGGGATGGCGGGAGTGCAGGATAAGGAAGGAAAGAAAAAAAAAAAAAAAAAGTAACGGAACAGGGCAGATCGCTGCTAAAGAAAAGGAGAAATCCAGCACTGGTGCCAAAAGGAAATGCAAAGGTTATCCTAAGGAATAAGGGGAGGAGCCTGTTCAGATTAGAAACAATGTCCTGTCTGGGGTGAACGTGGAGGCCCGCTGATGATGCCAGTTAGACACTTGCACAGAAGAGCCCTCCAAGACGGGAGACCTGAGATTGCAGCTGGGCCTCCAGCAGGATGTGTGACCTTGGACAAGTCCCTTCCCCTGGCACGGCCTCAGTCTCCTCATCTGTACCACCAGGGTACTATACTGCATGTGCTCAAAGCTCCCTTCCAGCACCGACGTTCTGGGGTTCCATCAACACAAGGAAGGGCTCAGTCCTGGCTTACAAGTTTTTGTGTAAAGGAAGGCTGGAGGGAGGGGCCTAGGCCAGATTTGGGCGGAGGAGAGAAAAAGCAGGGCGGTTCTAGGTCAGGGGCTTGTCGTGGAGGGAGAAGGCACTCTACAGAACTGTGAGAGGCCGTCTTTAGGCTGGTGAGGAGAGGAGGGAAGGGGCTGCGCAGGGCGGGGGTGGGGGGAGTGCCGGAGGGAGGTGCAGTCTTAGATGAGGACTGTCCCAAACCTATGGGGGATCAGGGACAGAGGAAGGCGGGGAGAAAAAGCAAGCGAGTGAGCTGGGAGTGGAGCAGATCTGGAGGGGGCCGGGGGTAGGAGCAAAGAGGAAGGGAAGAGGGATAGGTGGGGGGAATCTGTCCGGGCAAAGAGGGAGAGCTGTCCCAGCTGCTGCACGGGCTGGGGGTGCTGCCAGCCGCGCGGCCCAGGAGCTGGCCGAGGGAGTGCTGCGGGGGGCCGGACCAGAGGGTCAGTCTGAGGCTGTCCCGGGCCTGCCTTGGGCCCCTCCCAGAGCTCCGCGCAGGCCCCGCGGCGGAGGCTCGAGGGGAAAAGCCACGCTCACCTTATCCTTCTTCAGTTTATAGGGCATCTCGGCCGGTCCACACCCGGCCCGGTTCCTGCGGCCCCGCTCCGGCTCCGGCTCTGCTCGGCCGCACTCGGCCCGCTCGGCGTCTCTCCGCTACCGCCTGCGCGCTGCGCCCGGGCCGAGCCGTGGCTGCGCCTCCAATTGGCCCGAACTCTTACAAACCTGCCTGACAACCAGGCGCCGCCTCCTCGGATTGGTCATTGGAGCCAAGCAGCTTCCCTTTTTTCTCATTGGAAAGAAAGAGTACAAACCGCCAGGGTTCGGCTCCCAGAATTGGCTGGAGTGGAAGGTCCCGCCCTAGAGAGGGTCGGGCTTCGGGAAGGAGGCGGGGCCATGGGGAAACCCGAGCTTGGCTGCCAGAGCTGTTCTCTCCGGCGTCGCCTGTGCGTCGTCCTCTGCTATTCTTCAGTCCTTGGCGCTCTGCTCCTTCCCTCCAGAAGTGGCTCTCACGTTTTCGTCTGCTCTGCTACCTGCTCTTCCCCGTTCGGACTGGAGGAAAGCGGCTCTAACACGAAAGGACACCTTTCTTCACAGGAATTTAAGTAGCTCAAATTGCACACGTGAAATCGATAGAGAAGACGACTCCCAGGGGTCCTGCTGGGCATTCATCAAGTCTGTCCTAGATCACAGTTGCAGAGGGGGAAGAGCTCAGCGGTGGAACCCGACTGAAAGGAAATGAGAAGCCCTGCATTGCTGCATCTTCAAGACGTGGGTCCCTGTACCTCCTGCAAGGGTGCTGGCCTCAGTAAACCAGGTGCGTCTGAGCCACTAAGCATGAAGTGGAAAAGCAGCCTTGTCCTTCAGTGTCCCCAAAAACGTACCCCTTACCTGTGCGGCTGCCGCACCCAAGCTGGTGTTCTAGTGGAAAAGACTGAGTTCTTGCCCTCAGGGAGTTCCCACTCTGGTGAGGTTCACAGACTTGTGTAAGAAATAAAACACAATAACATGACTTGCACACACCTCAGAGTGGCATGGAGATATATGCTTTAGTTACCCTAGGAGCCAATAGACTACATTAAGAAGCTGGAGGAGACCCATGAAAAATAAGCCCGTGGGAGATGGGTGTGGTAGCTGGGTGTGGGAGCCTACCTCTCTATTCCCAGCACCTGGAAGGAAGGTGGAGGCAGGAAGATCAGGAGTTACAGGCCAACCATCTCTGAAGCCAGTTCCGGACCAGTTTGGACTACAGTAAAAACCCTTCTCTCTCTCTCTCAAAAAAAAAAAAAAAAAAGTTAAAAATTAGCCAGTAGCTGCTCGCCCCACATGGAGGAGGCCTTGAAATCCCCAACAGCACAAATAACTAAACAAATAACCAACGATTCTTACACAAAGAGCAGTAGCTATAAGAATGGTAAAGAGGTTAGAGAGATGGCTCGGCGAATAAAAGCACTTAGTGCTCTTTGAAAGGACCTGAATTCAGTTCCCAGCACCCAGAATAGCTGGTTCACAATTGCCTGTAACTCCAGCCCAGGGCATCTGACGCTCTGTTCCAGGCTCTGCAGGTACTTGTACTTACACACAGACACCGACACGTGCACACACACACGCACACACAAACATACACATAATTTAAAATTGTTAAAAAATGGAATGGGAAAGCTAGGAGACATGGCTCAGTTAAGACTGTTGCTGCTCCTCCAGAGGGCCTAAGTTAGGTTCTCATCACCCAAACCAGTTGACTCACAACTACCTGTAACTCCATCTCCAGGGGATTTGGGGGAGGCGGTCTGACGCCCTCTTCTGGCTTCGATGGGCACCTGCACACAAGTGTCCTACACTCATACAAACAGGCACATATAAATAACCTTAAAAAAATCAATGGAATAGAGATGAGAGGATCAGGAGATGTGTGCAGTCAACAGGATTAGGTGAGTCACTGGATTCAGGGATGATGGTAGAGAGGAAAGGATGAGCTGAGGATGACTTTCATTCGTGAAGAAAGATGGTTAGTAATGGTTGGCCAGAGGCAGATAAGAGTATGATAAACACTGACTAGGAACACCATGATTTTGCAATTAGGAGGTGTCTGGCGGTTTTTGCCAGGGAAGCTTCAGAGGAGTGGAAGTTTATAGTGGGTTGGAGAGCGAGGTAAGGTCAATAAATGTAGGATCCTGACTCTCAGACAGAAATAGTATTTAGCTTTCTGACTAATGACAAGTTGAAGGCAACACGCAGTGGACTGCATTTCTACTGTTATTAGCCTGGGAGGGAAAGCTGTTTGTTTGTTGGTGGATATTTATATCTGTATGAGTGTAACTGAGGCAGGACAACAGGTGTTGCTGCCCAGACCCAAAGCCTCAAGATGCACTATTATCCCGAGGCATAAGCTCGCCTGTGATTGCATATCCGCGTTAGACCTACAGTCCTTTCCTCTGGGAAGCAGGGGACAGACACATACACAGTTAAATTGCAAATGGGATCCTTTTATCTGTGTGACTCCAAGTCCCCAGCACCTTCTTTTTTTTTGTTCTTGTTACAGGGTCTTACTGTGTATCTCAGGCCGTCCTTGAATGTGAAATCATCTTTCCTTGGCCTCTCACATGCTGGAATTACAGATGGGTACCACCATGGGAAGTCCTATTACATGCTGTTTTGCAAAGTACATGCAGGCTTAGAACACTGTATACATAATAAATAAATAAATCTTTAAAAAAAAAAATCAAGAGAATCCAGGCATGCTAGAGAACTTACAATTGAAAATAGCGTAGTCATCTTCAACATCAGTGCTTGCTGCAGAAGCATGAGAACCTGAGTTCAATACTCCAGGCCATATCCAGCACCCATGTGAAAAACTGGGTGTGGTGTTCCTCATCTGGAATCCCAGCAATGATGAGGGTAGAGACAAAAGGATTTCTCCAGCAAGACTAGCCAGGTGAGTTAGTTCTAGGTACCCTATCTCAAAAAAAAACTAACATGGAGAGTAATTTCAGAAGATATCTGTGTTTTGTAAGTTTCCTCATAGATTAAAACATTCTATCCTGCAGGAAGCTTCTTAAGCAGGGAGGTAAGCAACTAAAATAGTTTCAGGAAGTCCCTGAAGCTGACCAGATTCAACTAGACCTCTTCCTGTCAGAGTAAGCAATAAAAGCTGAGATGTTCCTCTCAGAGAAGTGAAACCAAGCTCCAAAGAAGACTCTCGGAGCAGACCAGCTGCCTGGAAGAAGCAGAAACCAGCCAAGGTGCCTATAGACCAACTGAGGCTGGAAAGAACACTCCAACTGTTGAGGTGCCTGCAGGCCATGCTGTGTGTTCCAGGTTCCCATGAGCTGTAACCCACGCTGGGGTAGTCTTTGGTGGCTCTGAGTCATTTCTGCTCCTGTGAGTAAACCCAGTAAAACACATTGGTCCATCACGTTGGATTTAGTTGGTATTTGTGCTTTGATCAGTTGTGGGATCCCTGTCTGGGGCAAGAAAACATGTGCGGAGTCTCCCCAGGAAAAGTTTTATCACATAACAACCTGACCTTAACATGTAGCCTCCAAATGAATGTTCACATATGCACATAAATACAATTACACCTGTGCCTACAGGGGGGCACATGCACATACAAAAAGATAAAAATAAACAAAAAATAAGGGAAAATGGACAGTTCCACTGAGACAAGTTCTTATTATCCTGGGCCAGCTTCAAATTCACTAGGTAGCTGCTGCCTCTACCTGCCAAGTGTTAGAAAGACAGGCATGTACCTCCACATCTGGTTTTATAAAGTGAAAGAGATCCAGCCCAGGGCCATCCATGCCAGACAAGCACTCTACCAACCCCAATTTCAGGTTTGCGACGTAAGGTATTTCCAAGAACTATAATCAGAAATCTAAGTATTTTCTAATCTTTCTGGGGATAAATATATCTTAATACATGTAATCCTAATACTCAGCTTTCTGCTATCTGAAGATCAGATTTTTCAAGAATGTGTACTATACAAAATAGAAGACTATCTCAAGAGGCCCAACTGTAAAGGAAGGGAGAAAGCCCAACAGTAACTGGAAGAAAATACAAGGTCCAAAAGAGGCAATAGCCATGATCCAATACATTAATTAAATGTAATTAAAGAAAAACTCAGTAACTGTTCATTAGAAACATGACCTATGCGGGCTGGAGAGCTGGCTCAGTGGTTAAGGGCACTGGCTGCTCTTCCAGAGGTCCGGGGTTCAATTCTCAGCACCCACATAGCAGCTTACAACTGTCTATAACGCCTGTTCTAGGGGATCCAACACCCTCATACAGACATACATGCAGGCAAAATAACACTACACATAAAATTTAAGAAAGAAAGAATCAGGCTACCTCTAGCCACTATCATCTTTCACCATCATCTTTGGATGGATGGATTGATGTCTCAGTCAGTTAAGAGCACTGACTGCTTTTTCAGAGGACTCACATGAATGCAGTTCCAGGGAATCTGGCATCCTCTCACACCCAAACACTCAGGCAAAACACCAATGCACAGAAAATAAAAGTAATTAAGTCTTTTTTTAAAAGTCTAAAAAAAGAAAGAAAAAGAAAAAAAAATTGACCTATCACTGAATGTAATGGAGTGAAAACAAGATGAAATCTAACAGTAATGGTGTTGGCTAAGTTCCCATCACAAAACCTTCAACCCTTTCCTTCTCTGTCGCTTTCCGTTCTCTAACGTAGAAATAGAGAATGGGTTCCAAACATTATTAGGGAAGATCAGTGGGTTTGAGGGGAAGAGGCAAACTGCTTCATCTTAAAGTTTGGTGTGAGTAGAAGGACAGTGAACGTGAAGGACCCAAGGCTCTGGACCACGGGCTTCGCGGAGGGTGTGTTGGGACAGGTGTGGCAACACCAAGCTACGGGGCTACATGAATCACATGCAGTAATTCAGTCAGCAGCCACTACATAACTACATACCCATGAGCATGTCTGGGGCAGTTTTATAATCCTGCCACTCCCTCTCACAACGTTCCCTACGGCTGAGCGGGACAAATTAAGATTTCCTCAGAGAAACGGACTCCTTCCACTTTTCACACCAATCACTCTTGATCAGTCAACTACTGAGTACGTGTTACGAGGCGGGCATGATGCCTTGCGAGGAGGACGTTATTTCCGCTACCGAGACGCAAAGGTAAATGCGCCTACACGCAGACTCAAAGGGCGCATGCGTCGGCGACTACGGAGGCGGCCGTCGAACCCGCTCGCAGCTCCGGGTCTTAGGGGCCTACGCCGCCAACGACACCCCGCCCACTTTCCTGCCGGAAGCGGAAACCCCTCTCGCGCCGGGTGGTTTTTCGATCGCTGGTTCCGGAAGTGGAGCGGTTCTCCGTTCTCCTTCGCCATGGCGCTGGCGGTGTTGCGCGTCCTAGAACCCTTCCCGACAGAGACGCCGCCATTGGCGGTGCTTCTGCCGCCCGGGGGCCCGTGGCCCGCGGCGGGGCTGGGCCTGGTGCTGGCGCTGAGGCCGGCGAGCGAGAGTCCTGCGGGGCCCGCGCTGCTCGTGGCGGCCCTGGAAGGGCCCGGTGCCCAGAGCGAGCAGCGAGGGCCCGGCCCTCCGCAGCTGCTGGTGAGCCGCGCGCTGCTGCGGCTCCTGGCGCTGGGCCCCGGGGCGCGAGTGCGAGCGCGGCCTGTGCGGCGGCCTCCGGCGCTGGGCTGGGCGCTGCTCGGCACGTCTCCCGGCCCTGGCCTGGGGCCTCGAGTCGGGCCACTGCTGGTGCGCCGCGGAGAGACCCTGCCCGTGCCCGGTTCGCGAGTGCTGGAGACGAGGCCGGCGTTGCAAGGGCTGCTGGGCCCAGGGACGCGGCTGGCTGTAACTGAGCTCCGCGGTCGGGCCAAACTGGGCCTGGATTGTAGAGACCACAGCCATCCCCCACCTCCGCCTGTAGTATCCACTTTTGCGGTTTCCCACTCAGTCCGGCAACTCCAAGGAGTTGTGGGAGGAACTGGAGATGCTCTAGGAGTGAGCCGGAGCTGTCTCCGCGGTCTCGGGCTCTTCCAGGGCGAATGGGTATGGGTGGCCCGGGTCGAAGAGTTCCCAAACACCTCCCGGCCACATTTGGCTCAAGTACAGGTCCTAGAACCTCGCTGGGACCTGTCCGAGAGACTGGGACCCAGCTCGGGGCAGACGGGAGAGCCACTCGCTGACGGACTGGTGTATGTGCCCGCCGCTCTGGCTTTTAATCTCGGCTGTGACCCCCTGCAAGTGGGAGAGCTCAGAATTCAGGTCAGGAACGCTTCCTTTTCAACTTCTGCCCTCTTAATCCGTCACAACTGAGTTGGGAGGCTAAGGCTGTAGAATTTAGGTCCCCTGTGCCTTTCAGTCTTGGACTTGGCACTGAAGGTCTCTTAGCCTTGTTTATCCGTTCTCTGTTATACTGTGTCTCCATAGTGTAGTGGTACATGAGAACGGCTTTCACGTGTTCAGGTGAAAGGTGAGGTTGGGTGTCAAGTACCAGTTGGGCAGACTCCGACTTTATGCTAATCAATAACTGGGTTGCTACATTAGAATAGATAGTATCTTGGTACCTTTGGCTTATGCTTTCTCTTGCCTTCCTGTTCTAGCTTTATCTGATAAAATTTTACCATCCTCTACTCCAGTGCCTGCCTAAAAGTGACACCTTCATAAATCCTTTCATGATCATTTCTTCCCCCTCTAGCCTTTTGAATCTTTGTTAGATTATTTATTTTTATGATTATTTACTATCTAGTCCCCAATCATATTGTAAATTCCTTGAAAGGGCTTTTTGTTATCTTTGGTACTGGTATTTAACATATCTTATTAAATTTAAGAGAAGTTCTTGAAGTGTTTGGTTTCTGCCTTTGAAAAATACAATTGTGATGGGCTGGGGAGATGGCTTGGGTTAAGAGGACTGGCTGTTCTTCCAGAGGTTCTGAGCTCAATTCTCAGCAAGCATGGTGGCTCACTAGATCTGGTGCCCTCTTCTGGCGTGCAGGCAAAATACTGTATAAATAAATAAATCATATATATATATATATATATATATATACACACACACACGCATGAAAAATATAATTGTGTTTGGGGAAAAGGTCCTACAGTTTAATTTCTAAGCTAAAGCAAAGGAAGCCAGTAGCCACTTAAAATGAACTAGCTAAAACATCAGTTCTAGAGTTGATTTAACCCCCCTCAGGTTCCCAGCCATATTTAGAAACAAAGCATGTCCATCAGTGTAGAAACTTCTGTTAGGTGAGTGTCCGGTTAGCACTGAGATGGGCCTAGGGTGAGGCTCAGTGAAAGAAAACCTGCCAAGCACCCAAACCAGACCAACTAAACAAGCCAAGCACCCAAACCAGACCAACTAAACAAGTCCATTAAGCTGCCCATACGAGAATAACAGTGAGTGGGTTTCCTTCTGTCTGAAGAAGGTGGGTATTGTGAAGCTCGTTCAGCTGAACCAGCTCTTTACCTCTGTTAGACTATATCAAAAGCTGGCTGCGGTGGCTTCTATCTGTAGTCCTGGAACTTGAGAAGCTGAGGCAGGAGAATCACTGAGTTGAAGGTCCACCTGAGCTATGGAATGAGATATCAAAACTATATCCTTTTCCCACAGCCAGAATTCAGTGTCTTCACCAAAGCCCACTCAGTGTCATTTTAGTCACTGGCTAGCATCATTCAAAGAGCTTGTAGATGCTGGGCCTGGTGGTGCTTGCCTGTAATCCCATCGCTTGGGAGGTGGAGGCAGGATTAGGAATTCAAGAGCACTCCCACTAACAGCTACCAGTCTGGGCTAAATGCAACCCTGTCTCAAACAGAAAAACGGGACTTACAGAAATACGTTTCTTTGCACCTCATTGGCGTTTTCTTTAGGTATCAAAAGCCCAGAAAGAGCCTTTACAGGCAGCTTTTTGGAAGTCAAGAAGAGTTGACATGGCTTCCTGGTACACATTAGAAGGAGAGCTTTTGATTTTCTTCTTTTTTTCAAGGCAGGGTTTCTCTGTAGCCTTGGCTGTCCTGGACTCACTTTGTAGACCAGGCTGCTCTCGGACTTGGAGATCCACCTGCCTCTGCCTCCCTGAGTGCTGGGACAACAGGCTTGCACTACTGCAGCAGACTTGAGCTTTTGGTTTTCTAAGGACAATAGATTTGGTCTGCAGTTTGGCTGCCTCAGGTCACTAGCCTTGACATGGGGCAGACAAGACAGATGTGAACACAGGCTGCTAAGAGAGCAAGCAGCCTGCAGCCTTACGAGTCCTTGCAGTTTGTAAGGTGGCCATTGTTTCTCCATTAGAGGTATCTGGAAGGCTCTGTCGCCCCTGAAGAAAAAGGAAGCTGTTCACCAATGCCTGGGCCTCCATTTGCTCGAGAATTACACATTGAAGTTGTCTCCTCACCTCACTGCAGCACTAATGGAAATTATGACCATGTTCTTTCTCAGCATTTTCACACACCCAGGTTAGCCGCCTAGACCTTTTAAGGAAAGGAATACTCCCCCCTTGGCCCCCGCCTCCTCTCCCATGCCTCAGGTCTGGGTACCCCATGGCTGCTGGCTTAGGGGAAGCCGCACTGTAGGCAGGACTGTGGCAAGGAGTCTTGAGATAACCAGGAGGGGAATTTGAACATTTTAAGAGGAAAAAAAAAGGACAGGATAAAGAAAACTCCAGAAGAGCCAGGAGCTCTTCTCATCTCTAGTCTCAATTTTAAGTCTTAATTGCCCCCTAGAAAGTTGCTTGGAAAGCTGTGGATCTTATTGGAATAGGCCAGATGTGTCAGGCACCTACTCCTGACTCCCACTGTGAGCTGACTGAGGCCACTGATGTGTTGCAGGGTGGTCCAGGAAGGGGATGTTCTGTGTGTACCAACGGCTGGGCAAGTTGAGACCCTGGAAGGAAGCCTGGAGAAACTGCCCAGGTATGCAGCTGCCTCCTTACCCATAGCCCAGTCATAACCCGACTGTAGTTCCACAGTCTCCTCTCCCCACAGGTTGTATGTGGCAATTTTGTGCCAAAGGATATTTTGTTAATTGCTGGAGTGAGAGAGAAGGAAACACACTCTCTGGTACCCATATGGACATAACCAAAGCCAGGTTAAGAATCACAGCCTAAAGCCAGGAGCGGTGCTGCACACCTATAATCCCAGCACTCTGGGAGGCAGAGGCAGGCGGATCTACAAAGCAAGTCCAGGTCAGCTAGGGCCACACAGAGAGACCCTGTCTGGAAAAAGCAGGAACAAACAAACACAGATTTATTAAGGAAAAGAGAACCCTCAATAGCGTCAGGAACTCTAAGGGAGGACTACTCCACTCGTGTTTTATTAGGGGAGCACAAGTGACAGGGTAACCCAACTTTGGCAGCTATCATCTGCAGGTTTTCTGCCTCATCTTGTGTCCTACCTATAGCAAGGAAGACACTTGGCAGGATGCCTGCCTCATCTTTGCCAACATCCAGACCTTGGTTCTTGTTGGCACTTGGTGCTTCCTATCTGAAGACAGCAGTGCTCAGATGAAGGCAACGTTAGTAACCCTGGCCCACACTCGGGGGCCTGGCATCTAGGCTGGTACTTGCCAGTCTCCTGCCCCTGGCTCTCTAGTTTTAACAAATGCCTTAGAGCTGGTACTGTGTATACAGTGTTGTCCTTTTGAGTCCAGTTCTTGCTCTGTAGTTCAAGGTGGGTGCCTGCATACATGATACGTGACCCCAATGACCTTGAACTTGGAGCATTCTCCTGACCCAGCCTCCTGACCCAGCTCAGATGCCTGAATTAGTTGTTTTATTTTGAGGTAGGGTCTCACTATGTAGCCCTGCCTGAAAAATCACAGATAGCCAACTGCCTCTGCCTCCCAAATTCTGGGATTAAAGGCATGCACCATCATGCGCAGCCTGACTTGGGTTATTGTTTTCTTGAAGAGTTGGGGATTTGAGACAGGGTTTCTCTGTGTAGCCCTGGCTGTCCTGGAACTTGCTGTATAGACCAGGCTAGCCTCAGACTGAGAGATCCACCTGTCTCTGCCTCCCAGGTGCTGGGATTAAAGATGTGTGCCAGCTCTGCCCTGCTTTTTGCTTGTTTTTTTTTTTTGTTTTTTTGTTTTTTTTTTTTTTTTTTTTTTGAGAAAGGGTTTCATATAGCCCAGGCTAACCTCAAAATGATAGCTTTGAACTTTTTGAGTTTCCTGCTTCTACCTCCTGAGTCCTGAGATTTATAGGACTGCACACCATTTTATGTGGGTCTTTGGCTCAAGCATGAAGACTTCCTTCATGCTGGGCAAACATTCTACAACTAAACTAAACTCACAGCCGCTGACTTAATCTTCTGTGGAAAAACTGCAGACCACCCACACATCATCCTTTCAAAGGACACAGCAGCCAGCCATTCCCTGCACTGCTGCTGACCCAGCCCTGGAAACCTACCTGCCTCCTGGGTGCTGAGCACAGTGCTATTCATGTTTCCTGAGGAACGAAGGGTTGGGACAGTAGGCAGGAGAGTCCAGGGCCAGATAGAACTGTTTAGGCCACCTGGGCCCCAGAGAGCTCCTTCCGTTCCCTAAAAAGGAATCCCATCATTGATGGACCCTCTTCGGCCTCCTTTGTACTCTGCTTCACAAACCAAAGCTACATAGGAGTCATCAGCTCCACTGCCCCCTCCCCCGCCGCCACCACTGAGGAAGGAGCTCCCTTCCTAACTCCCCACAGGGCCGTCCCTCCTTGCTTTCCTGTGCAGTGCTTCCAAAATGTCCTGACAGGATACGTGATAGAGGCGCGAGGCTGTACCCCATCTGAGCTACAGTAAGGTAGTTTTCTGAGCGAGAGCACAGTTCACACACAGCCATCACTTGGCACGCCCCACGCTCCTGGTTTAATACACAAGCACATACTTTTCCTCATGTTTTAGTTTTTAACTGTGGCCACTGCCAACCATAACTCAGAGGAAATTTATTGTTTTGGGTATGCGTCTGAGTGTGATGCTTGAGCGTGCAACTGTAGGTGTGTGGAGGCCTTGTGGTTGGCATTACAGGTCTTCAGTTGCTCTCTAGCTTATTATATGTTGTTGAAAATAAGTGGTATTGGGATAAATAACTTTATTATTATCCGCCCTATAATTATTACAGTGGTATTATTTAACCCGTTATCATAATCAGTAAGACACAGACATCTGTTCAATTTTATAATTGCTTTATAACATCTTGGGCTGGGCAAATAATTCCACCTACACTATCTCAATAACCTCACCACCCACCTCCCAGCCCCCATCCATTGCCATCTGCCTTAACCATCCTTATCTGGGCTACCTCCCGTTCTTAACCTTAGAAATACTTGCTTATCCTTCATCTTGATTGTTCCTTTCCACGCCACTTTCGGGGTCCTTCTTCCCAGCCCACGTGGTTTCTTTTTCATTGCTAACCTACCATGGCTTCCTCCCTCTCTTCCTTCTCCTTACTGTGATTTTCGGGTCCCCAAAGCCCAAGAACCTTAGTCTCCTACCTCCTTCCACCTGCCCAGGCACAGGCAGGAACTAACCAATCAGGAATATTGTCTTAGGCAGGTTTACACAAGGATAGGTGTATCCAGGTGGTAACCAGATCTGGAGGGCCAGTAATTAGCATCAAAATACAAGCATCAGACCCACCCCCAACACTTATGTCTTGAAGCAGGGTTGCTCACTTTACCCGGAACTCTGTTTAGACTAGTCTGTCTAGCCAGCCTGCCCTAGTGATTCTCAGTTTCCTCCTGTGCTTCCTGGGATGATGGGCAGATGGCCACCACCATTCCGTGGCTCTAGGGCTCTGAACTGTGGTCTCCATATTTTTTGGGGGTGGTACTTTACCAGCTGAGCCATCCCTAGTCTCACTTAAAGAATTTTGTAACAAAAACCTTCCTCTACTTTAAAGTGGCCCCCACCCACCTTTGCTGCCAGAGTGGGCAGCTTGGCAACTATATGACATCTTGGGTAGAGGAGTTTGCATCCGGTGGGTCTTCGAGAGGCCCGAGCATGGTCTGTTCCTTGGTGTCTCTCGGCCTACAAGTTAAAAGGAAGAGTGTTTTTACACATGTCTCTGGCAGCCTGAGTGGCTAGCTGCTGCCTGCCCTTGCCCTCTTCCCAGTTAGTACCAAATACCTCTGATGCCCAGTGGCACTGATTAAAGACTGCTCAGCCCTGGCTTTGCCTCCACTTTGCAGAAAATACAGATTTACACCCCAGACCTATTGAACTAGAATCAGGATGAGCTTAGGGTCTGTGCAATCTTTTTCTTTCAACGGATGAAGTAATATTATTTTTTTTTTTATGGGTTTTTTTGTTTTTTGTTTTTGTTTTGAGACAGCTGGCTGACATGGCTTGTAGACCAGGCTGGCCTCGAACCCAGAGACCCACCTGCCTCTGCCTCCTGAGTGCTGGGACTAAAAGCATGTGCCACCAGGCCCAGCTTATGTTATTATTTATAAAATGCGTGACAGGAGCTTGAGCTCAGAAGGCAACTTGTGGGAGTTGCTTCTGTCCCACCATGTGAATTCCAAGGATTTAACCCCGGTAGTCCGTGGCTTGGCAACAAGGCCTTTACCCACTAAGCAGTCTGTCTGGCCCAGTATTAATTTTTGAAATTAAAGTGAGAGGGGACATGCAGTGTGATTCTGAGACTAGAAGCCTTTGACTGCAACCTCACCTCTTACACTTTTTGGGGGGTCAGGGGTCTTTGAGACAGTTTCTTTCTATGTAGTCCTTGTTGTCCTGGAACTAGCTATGTAGTTCAGGTTGGCCTTGGACTCACAGAGGTCCTCCTGCCTCTGCCTCCAGACTGCTGAGATTACGGGTTTCCGTACCACTTAAGGCCTTTCTAAAGTGTACAGTTCATCTGTCTGGTCATAGTGGCATGTACCCAGCATCTACCTACTTGACAGGCTGAGACAGAGGGTCACATAACAGAGGTTATAGATTTGAGGCCGTTCGAGGAGACAGAGAGAGAGAGACTTCTCTCAAAATAAGCAAGTGCACAACTCAGTGGTTTTTGTTGTAGTTACAAAATTGCACAAACATTTCTGATCCTTGAACTCTCCTAACCACAAAAACAAACTCTACCTCCTAATAATCATTTCCCATTTCTTTCGCTGTTCCCCAGATCCTGGCAGCCACCCGTGTGTTGAAAGGACTCAGAGAGCACGTGAAAAATATTTGTTTTTTTTAAAGCTCCACAGATAATTCCAGACTAGAGAATTGTTCTTCTTACTTTGGAGTGCGGCCCGGTCTGTTGTTTGACCTTCCTGCCTCTGCTGCCCCAGGACTAGCGTTAGATGCCTTTATTAAAGAACTTAGCTTTAGTTAGAATGTATTGGGTTATTCAATAAGAAACAGGGGACACTTCTGCTTGAGATCTTGGACCCTAATGCAGACATGTAGGAGAGAGAGACAGTGCTGAAGCCACTGGAAATGGCCACAGGTTGCAACACTTCCTGATGGCGACTTCACCTCTTTGGGGTGGGTGGCAAGGCCATATGCCTGGAGAAATGCCCTCCGGGACCATCTGATGGTTGTAACGGTGGCCTTTCTGCAGTCCCTCGCCCTGCCTCATCAGTCTCGGGGCACTGACCTGTGCTGCTCCTACAGTTTGTCTTCTGTGAGAAAGCCACCTGCTCTTGGAGAGGGGCAGACGTGGGCTCTAGGTCCTGGGTGCATCGGTCCTCTCTCTTGCAGGTGGCGGGAGTTGTTTGTTAAAGTGAAGAAAACAGTTGGGGAAGCCCCAGATGGACCAGCCAGTGCTTTCCTGGCCGATATCACCCACACCTCTTTATACATGGTAAGGCCTTGCATGGGAGAGACCTGCGAAGGAGTTGGAGCACCGGAGAACCTTGGGCTTTTCCTACCCTTCACAGGCAGGTTCTGTCCTGAGTCGTGTTCCTCTGCTGCCTTCAGGAAGGTCCACTCCCTGGGATAGCTTGTCTCCTCCAGGCCTGGAGGCCTTGGTAAATGAGCTCTGCGCAGTCCTGAAGCCTCACCTGCAGCCTGGGTGAGTGAGGCCGCACCCTGAGGCGTAAATCCAGGCTGTGAGAAGGGCCTGCTCGGGGCATCCCTGCAGAGTAGCATCCAGGAAAGTAACTCCCAGCTGGTAACTCCCAGCTAGAGTTGGGGTCCTCAAGCCAGGGCACCTGGTCCAGGCCCTTGCCACTCACTGTCTTTGAGGCTGCTTTTCTGCTGGGGGGCCCCATGATCCATCCTGGCCTTTACCACTCCGTCCCTGAAGGGCACAGTGTCCCACTCCGATACCCCAAGTCCAAACCCAGACCCCTCCCTATGTTCTTCAGACCAGACCTATCAAGCTGGCCTCACTGAAGGCACAGTGGTCTGTGGCTGTGGAATACTCTTTGTGCTTTTGCCCGATACTAGAGGTGGCGTGAGAGACAAGACCTCCGCATGGATATGGTCTGAATGGATTAGGGAGGCACAAGGAGAGACGGGGTGCTTTTGAGATCCAAGGGTCCCTGTGTTACTGGGGTCTTAACATTTGGGCAGAAACTGTGTGGGGATACAGTATCTGTTCTCTAATTGCAGAGGAACCTTGCTCACGGGAACGAGCTGTGTGCTTCTACGGGGCCCTCCAGGCAGTGGGAAGACCACAGCAGTCACTGCGGCCTGCAGTCGCCTCGGGCTCCATTTACTGAAGGTGAAGGCCCCTGGAGAGAGCCCAACCACTTCCCTTCAGCACAAATTCTGCCTTTCTCTCTCTGTGTTCCTTCATCACCATGTAGGAGCCCTAACACTTCAGCGCAGTAGTCCAGGCCGCTATGTAGCCCCACGACACTCAGAGGTCCTTTCAGGACTGAGAGGTCTCAGGGTTGCACATTCCAAAGCCACCACCTGCGTGGTGCACCTCCCCCCCATCCCTGCTCTACAAAGCAAAGGTAGCCTGCGTCATTCGACCCCTCCCACCTCTCTGCCCGGTTCTCACAGAACTATCTGGTGTCTCCACCAGGTGCCCTGCTCCAGCCTCTGTGCGGACACCAGCGGAGCCACGGAGACAAAGCTGCAGGCCGCCTTCTCCCGGGCCCGCCGCTGCAGGCCTGCAGTCCTGTTGCTGACAGCTGTGGACCTTCTGGGCCGAGACCGTGACGGGCTGGGTGAGGACGCACGGGTGGTGGCCACGCTGCGTCACCTTCTCCTGGATGAAGACCCTCTCAGCAGGTATTTCTAGAGCAGGCGGGTTATGGGGGGGGGGGGGGAAGCCTCCCTCTTAAGTCTTTTCCGCCCTTTCATTCCTCACTTCCTGACTCCCTGCTAGCTTCTCACCTGACTCCCGAACTCTCACCTGGCTGAATTCTTAGGAGGGTGCAGTCTGGCAGTTTGGAGGAAACATTAGGCTGAAGCCCTTGCCCTCAGTGAGCTCCCCCAGTGAAGCGCAGATCCCCCCTTAATGGTGTCCCCGCCATTAAGGGGTAGTGGCGGGACTTTGGATGACGCTCCTCTCTACCCAGTCAGTCCCAGCACCAGACCTCCCCATACCTGCGCACCAAACAAAGGAGCTGCCGGGCCATTCCTGCACTCAGGGCCCATCTCTGTCTGCAGCTGCCCTCCTCTGATGGTGGCGGCCACCACAAGCTGCGCCCAGGACCTGCCCGCTGACCTGCAGACGGCCTTTCCTCATGAGCTCGAGGTGCCGGTGCTGTCCGAGGGCCAGCGGCTCAGTGTCCTGCAGGCCCTCACTGCCCACCTTCCCTTGGGCCAGGAGGTGAACCTGTCACAGCTGGCACGGCGCTGTGCAGTGAGTATCTACACCGGTGCTTTTTCCCTGGGCCATCACAGGTTGTTATCACACATAGGACTTTGTCTCTGCTGCCCCACAAACCGGAAACCACCAAAGCCCACGCTCGCTCCAGCTGCTCCAGACCCTACGGGCCCTGCCCATGTGTCCTTTTGTTTAATTCCCTAGGGCTTTGTGGTAGGGGACCTCTATGCCCTTCTGACTCACACCAGCCGGGCGGCCTGTGCCAGGATCAAAGCCTCCGGGTAAGCAGAACTCATCACAGGGTAAAGGTGGCTGGGAAAAGGCAATGAAACCCCAGCACAGAGGTGTTTTCTTCTCTTGCACTCTCTGTTGTTTTGTGACAGTCTTGATCCATAACCTGTTTGGCCTGGTCCTTTATTTTATTTTTTTAAGACAGGGCCTCACTATGTAGCCTTGGCTGGCCTGGACGCACTGTGTAGACCAAGTTAGTCTTGAGCTCATAGACATCCACCTGCCTCTGCCACATGTGTGCTGGGGTCAAAGGCCTGACCTGGATCTCCTTTTATGTTTGTTTTTCAAGACAGGGTTTCTCTGTGTAGCCTTGGCTCTCCTGGACTCACTTTGTAGACCAGGCTGGCCTTGAACTCACAGCAATCCTCCTGCCTCTGCCTCCCTGAGTGCTGGGATTACAGGTGTGCGCCACCGTGTCCTGCTGACCTGGAACTCCCAAAGCTCCTCTGCGTCAGCCTCCTACATGCTGGGATTACAGCTGTGAGCCTAGCCTTGCGTTTCTCTCTATAGCTCAGCGGGCAGTGTGAGCGAGGAGGATGAAGGGGAGCTGTGTGCGGCCGGCTTTCCCCTGCTGGCTGAGGACTTCGGCCAGGCGCTAGAGCAGCTGCAGGCAGCTCACTCCCAAGCTGTGGGAGCACCCAAGGTGGGACTCCGGGTCCTTGGAGGTGGCGCACGAGCTCTGCCTCTTTGCGCCTCCCTAAACACTCATCCATCCCCCAGATCCCGTCAGTGTCCTGGCATGATGTTGGGGGGCTGCAGGATGTGAAGAAGGAGATCCTGGAGACCATCCAGCTGCCTCTGGAGCATCCTGAGCTGCTAAGCCTGGGCCTGAGGCGCTCCGGCCTCCTGCTCCATGGGCCTCCAGGCACTGGAAAGACCCTCCTGGCCAAGGCAGTGGCCACTGAGTGCAGTCTCACATTCCTCAGGTTGGCAGGGCTTGGAGGGCCCAGTGGGAGGTTGGGGGCCGCATCAGGCTGGTGGGGAAGGAAGGGCAGAGAGGACAATGGTACAGGTGCCTGCTGGGCCTCACTCACCCGTTCTGTCGCTCAGTGTAAAGGGACCAGAGCTCATCAACATGTATGTGGGCCAAAGTGAGGAGAACGTGCGGGAAGGTGAGTGGGCGGGGAGCGGCCCTTGTGCCACCTTCCCCAGCTGCTGCTCATGCCCAGCCCAGCTGGGTGCCAGCCTGGGCTCAGCTGCCCATCCTCCCCTGGCTGCAAGCTCCCTGACAACACCCTCCCGTAAGCCTCTTTCTCAGTGTTTGCCAGGGCCAGGGCTGCCGCTCCATGCATCATCTTCTTCGATGAGCTGGACTCCTTAGCTCCAAGCCGGGGGCGGAGTGGAGACTCCGGAGGCGTGATGGACAGGTCAGGGATTCAGAGCGGGAATGGAGGTCTGGGATCCCATGTGGGTGGGATTAGTCACAATCAGGCTCCAGGTCAGGGTTCTAAGATAGAGGTTCCTGCCCTTCTGGCCCAGCACTGGCGGAAGGGAAGTGAAAAAGGACTTGGGGGTAGAACTTTGAGGAGGGCTGCCTGTGTGGAGAGGTAGGTGGGCAGCAGGGGACCTTGCTGAAGCAGCCTTCAGAGAGAAGCGCTGGCGGGCCGAGGCCACGAGGACTCTGGCAGAGCGTGGCCTTCTTCCCACAGGGTGGTGTCTCAGCTCTTGGCTGAGCTGGACGGGCTTCACAGCACGCAGGACGTGTTTGTGATCGGAGCCACCAACAGGCCAGACCTCCTGGACCCTGCCCTTCTGCGGCCTGGCAGGTGGGTGTCCTGGGCCTACCTCCTCCTCCAGGCCCCTCCGTTCTTTGACATCTATCCTGTGCACCCTCACCCCTCGTGGCAGCCAGCCCTGAGGCCTTTCCTGGTTGTACCTCTCTAAAGGTTCGACAAGCTGGTGTTTGTAGGGGCAAGTGAGGACCGGGCCTCCCAGCTGCGTGTTCTGAGTGCCATCACACGGAAGTATGTCAAAGGGCTGGGAGCTTGGGGTGGTTACGGCCTGTGCCAGGCTCTTGAGGGAGGAGGTAGAGCCAGCTTTCCCATTTCTGGTTGGGTGTAACAGGTTCAAGTTGGAGCCCTCTGTGAGCCTGATGAGCGTGCTGGATTGCTGCCCGCCCCAGCTGACAGGCGCAGACCTCTATTCTCTCTGCTCTGACGCCATGACAGCTGCCCTCAAACGCAGGGTTCGAGACCTAGAGGAAGGTGAGCTCACTTGTCAGCCGTAGATGGGAAACGAAGCGCTAGCGGGAGACAAGCCTGGCCCTGAATTTCAGAGGGACAGCCAGCTGAGGAGGAAGGCTCTCGGGTCTCTCTCCTACCTAGACACTGACCAAAGCCTCTGCGCCTCAGCTGGGATCGGGGCTCTGGCCTTACTCCTGCTTGCCACCCCTCAGGGCTGGAGCTGGGGAGCTCCGCACTGCTGCTTACCATGGAGGACCTGCTGCAAGCCGCAGCCCGGCTGCAGCCCTCGGTCAGTGAGCAGGAGCTGCTCCGCTACAAGCGCATCCAGCGCAAGTTTGCGGCCTGCTAGGAGCTGCCTGCCATCTGCCTCTGCCCACATGGCTGGAGGTACCTGCTGCCTGTCACTTGACTGCTGCCTCCCTCCAGGAGATCCCTCATGAGCCTCAGTGGGAGGAGGCCCTCGTGCTCAGGAGGAGAGCCAGGCCTGGAAGCTTGCAGGCTTCGCAGCCTGGGGTCAGTGTTGAGACACCCTTTCTGTGACGGAAAATAAAGTATATACTGCCCCCTGCTGGTGTTGCGAGAGATTGCAGTCCAAAGGGCAAGGTTGAGGGCAGAGTAAGGTCTTGGGAAGGGAACGGATGGGCACCATGTTACTTCCAAAAGAAACACAAGGCACAGGAGGCTTGAAAAAGGCACAGACTTTATTTTGGCTCCCTGTTTGCCTGACCCCACAATCCTGCACCCAGCTGCAGTGTCTGTGTTAGGGGATGGTCTTAGGGTAGGTACATGAGTTAATCCCACCCCAGAGACCTCCGTTGCCTGGGCGGGGTCTTGGGGGTGCCAAGGCCACTTTCAGTCTGTCTTCTTGAGCACGTGGATGAAATAGCAGGGAATGTAGGTCTGGCCAGGCTTGTAAGGCTTGAAGTCACCCAGGACGCTGTGCTGGCACTTGCCCCCAAAGGCTGCTTGGATCAGCTCCGTGAAGGACGCCAAACAGTGCGGGTAGTAAGAGAGCCGGAACTTACTGCAACAGGGCCCCCAGCCAAGCATGAGGGCTGCTGGCCTTAGTTCTCCCCGCCACAGTCACCTCACCCCTGCCAAACCGCACCGTACCTGAAGCCGGGAGAGCCATCTTTGCCAGCCCCGGGCACCTGCACGGTGTAGTCCAGGGTCACCATGTGGGCTTTGTTGTTCACGGCCAGCACTGACGTTGTGATGTCCTTGGTGAGGTCACTCTGTGGGCAGCAGCCACTACGTAAGACACCGGGCTCCGCCCACCCCTCCCACCCCCACTGGGGGCCAGCCCACCTTGTAGTAGATGTTCTTCCCTGGGGGTGCACAGCCCGTGCTGAGGATGTGGTCGTAGTTGCGGTGGTCAATGACCAGCAGGCCGCCGGGCCGCACCATGCTTGCAATGTTCTTTAGCGCCAGCCGGTGCTCGCTCTGGTCACCTGGTGCCAGGCAGGGCCGCAGACACCATCTGCTTGGGCCTCCAGGGCCACTCCCCCCCCCCTGGGTCCCTCCCAAGCGCCAGCACTGAGGGAGACAGGCGAAGAGCAGGTCTGCCTTGTCACAGCAGCCAGCCAGCCTGCTTCGGAAGTGGCCGGGCTCAAGAGCTGGCTGAGGCTGCCTGCTTACCTTTGGAGTCTGGCAAGTGAGCAAAACTGTTCCCGAGGCAGATGACGGCATCAAAGCCATCTCCCGCCGGCACATCTTTGTCCAGAGTCAACCAGTTGGCTTCTTCGATGACTGGAGGCCAGGGGAGGGGTATGAAATCAGCAGCATCGCATTAGCAGCCAGCTCCCCCCAGGGACACGTGGGGGACACATTAGGGACGTGGGGAGTGCAGTGGGAGAGAGCCACCGCTGGAAAAGCCAGCTCTCCACGGATGGGCTTGGTAGGGAGGAGAGGCAGGAGGCTGCAGGCAGCTAGGGGCAGCTCTGCAGGGCATGGCGAATGGCTGTGCACGTCTAGTCCCTGCTGGAGGGAAGCAGATGCAGGAGAATCACCCGAACCTAGCCTAGCCAGAAAAACAAACATGCTGGCAGCAGAGCTCAGTGGTCAGAACTCAGCACGCCTAAGTTCCATCCCTAGCACCGAAAACAGACCAGCCTCACTGGTAACACCGGGGGCTGCCTTCTGCCGCCAAAGCCTCGCTCTTTAGGAAGACGACGGGAACTGCACTCCCCTGAGGAGAACCACTCAGCCCACACTGCCCCAAAGAGCTCAGGGCAGAGAGGAGAGTGATCCTGGGAGCGCGTGGCCGGGCCAGGCTGGACCTACATACCCCACTTGTCAAAGGCGGGCTCCTTCCTCCGGTTCCAGCGCTCTTTAAGCGCATATTTCAGCATCTTGTCACTGGCATCCACACTTGTCACGCTGAAGCCCTCTTCCACCAGCATGATAGAGTCCACTCTGGATGAGGTCAGAGATGAGGGGCTCAGAGGACCAGTCAGAGGAACTTGGGAGGAAGCCATGCAGGTGGCATTTCCCCCAAACATCATTTCAGAGTCCGTTCCTCGGCTTCCGGTCTCAGGCCATCTCTACTGACCTCAGGTGATAATCCTTATCACCCGGTAAGCAAAATAAATAAATAAATAATTTTGGAAAGTTTTTTAGCCTGTTTTGCACAGCAAGTTCCAGGACAGCCAGGGCTACAAAGAAAGACCTTGTCTCAAAAAAAAAAAAATTACAAATTTAGTTTTATGTGCCTTGCTTGGCTCTGTGCATCATGAGCATGCCTGGCGTGTGCAGAAGCCAGGGGAGGATGTCAGGCACCAAACCTGGGGACTCTGTAAAAGCACAACCCATCTGTCCAGCCTCCTCTTATTTGTTTATTAGAGACAGGGTCTCCTAAGTAGCGTTGGATGACCTGGAGCTCACAGAGACCCAGCTATGTAGGCCTCCCCAAGCTCGGACACTAAAGGCGTGTGCCACTACACCTGGCAGCGACACCGTAAAACGTTAATTTTCCCGTCTCTGTGTGCGTGTGTCCCCCAGGGCCGGCAGAGGGCGCCGAGCTCCCATGGAATGGAGTTCAGGCTCTTGCGGGCCACCCGCCTTCTGCAGGGGCTCTCGGCGGCGGAACCACCTCTCCAGCCCCGTGTTAAAAACAAAAAAATCAGAAGCAGGCCCTCTACACGCGTGCATCTGAGAACTGGGCATGCCAAGGCTCCCGGAAATAACTCAGCGGAGCGGGCGCGGGTCCTGCGCTGGGTGGGGGTGGGAGCCAGACTCTGTCCCCCGAAGGGCGACCTTCACTTCTCGGGAATGAGTTTCCTTAGTGCCGCCTGCAGAGAACCACGACTTACCTCGCGGGCTTTTGCGATGGTCTGAAACCCCCGTACGCAAACTTTTGGCACGGCACCTGGAGGCGCAAATGTGCCACAAACCTGTTCGGTTCACACTGCCATCAGAGGAGGAGGAGGAGGAGCGAGGCCGTCCGTGGAGCCCTCCTCCGTCCACACCCGTGCCCTGGCCCTGGGTCCTCTCGGTCCCCTGCCCGCACGGTCGTTTTTGACAGGTGCTCTCGCCATCCCCATTCCACCCCGGTGGCGGGGACTCCTGACCCGCCAGGGCCGCCGGCCAGGCTCCAGCCGCCAACACACACACACACACACACACACGCACACACACACACACACGCCCGCGGAGGCTGCCCCACCGGGCCCGCGCGGGCACTCACCCCGTGCCACAGGCCACGTCCAGCACCCGCTGGCAGCCGTGCTTGCGCAGCAGCCCCAGCAGCCACGCCTTGTACTCTGCGGTCCGGCCGCGGGTGTCCCCGATGTACAGCTGCCACACCCGCGCGGCCTCCCCGTCCGCGTACTGGTCCGGGAGCCCCTCGGCCGCCACCCCCAGGGAGCGGGTGCGGTACACGCTGTCCACCATCCTGGCCTGCGCGTGGCCCTCGGGCCCCGGGTTCCGCACTTATAGTCCTCCGGCAGGGCAGCCCCACCTGGCCAATGGCAGGGGAGCGCAGGAACACGCCCCTGCTGGGCCCCGGGCCCTGGGCGGGGAGCCAGGCTGCCCCCGCAGCGGGGATGGCTCGCTCGGGCAATCCTGGAGCCGGCTTTCCTAAGGGATAGGACAGACGGAAACGCAGCAGCAGCGGGGTGGCTAGGACGAGCGGGGAGGAGCTGACAGAAAGCAGAGCAACTCGTGCCCCCTCCAAGCGAGAAGGGGAAGAAGCCTTTGAAATCTACCCAAAGAAGAACTGGACAGTGCCCGGCCCAGCAAGGTGTCCACACACCCACAGAAGGAACACCGGCTGAAGAGGGTCGCTGTGCGCGAACAGTGAAAGGTCTTTGGGAGACATGCAGATCTGCCCACTGGAGCGCAAGGGCCGGATCCACCCGGAGCGAGGTCTGGGCGACAGCGTTAGGCCCCAGGCCCTCTACCTCACAGGGCGGGGAGGCTGGGCCTCCCGACCCCTGGGCTGTCCTGCACAGGCTGGGTGCCGTCAGGTCGAAGCAGGCGGACTACCTGTGCTGGGGAGTTGGAGGCCAGCCTGGGAACCATCATGAGCCTCCCACCTGCTTCCCAAGCCAGTGCCGACCGGGAGAGAGGGTCAGGGTCAGGGGAGAGGTGCTCAGTGCCCTGGCTCAGGCTACTATTACTCCAAACGCCAGCGTCTCTAGGTTCACCGGCTCCCTGCTCGCCCCACCGTGGACAAGATCCCAGCAGCACCATGAGAGGTTCTGGAAGAGGAGTGCAAGCAAAGACTCATGGGGAGAAAGCCTTCCCCACCGGCCCATACACTTCCAGCTCCACAAAGATTAGTCACAGGTGTGAGAATGAAGGAGCCTCCCTTCCCTTTCCAGTGTAGGGAGAACTCGGGCTGGGAGAACGCACACAGCTGTGTTACTTTTAACTTTTTTTTTTTTTTTTAAATAACTTGTATGGTTGTTCTGACTGCCTATGTATCAGTGCCCATGGAGAGGGCATCAGAGCCCCTGGAACTGGAGTTAGTTGTGAGCCACCGTGTGGTTGCTGGGAATTGAACTCAAGACTTTTAGGAAGAGCAGCCAGTGCTCTTAAACTCTGAGCCATCTCTCCAGCCCTCTTTTTTGGTTTTTCAAGACAGGGTTTCTGTATAGTCCAGGCTAGCCTTGAACTCAGAGATCCATCTGCCGCTGGCTGGGGAGTGCACCACTCTCGCTGCAGCTCTTAACGGCTCAGCTGTCTCTCCAGCAGAGCCAATCTCAAATGGTTCTGTCCATGCTCAAGTGGGCCTCGGGACTCACTGACCCTGCTGACAGGTCTCTGACACTAGGCTCAGAAAGATTCTGCAGGCTGAGTGTGATGGTTCGCACCTGTCAAGAACAGGTGGTCAAGGTTATTCTAGGCTAAAGTTCAAGGCCAATCCAGGCTACATCAGTCCCTGCGGAGGGAAGGAGAGAGGAAAAATTGTATTTGGGAATTTCAAGTAAATCCAATGCCACTTGTCAAAACATTCTTGGGACAAACAGATCAACTCCAGACTTCTTTTCAAATCTCATCTTGTGGTCCTCTTCCTGCTCCTCCTCCTTCTTTGAGACAGGGTTTCTCTATGTAGTCCTGGCTGGCCTTGAACTCACAGAGGTCTGCATGCCTCTGCCTCCCTCTGTGCTGGGATTAAAGGTGTGTGCCATCATCAACCAGCACTCGGGAGGCAGAGGCAGGTGGATGTCTGTGAGTTCAAGGACAGCTTGGTCTACAGAGTAAGTTCCTGGACAACCAGGGCTAGCTATCTTTGTCTCAAAAAACCAAAAAATGTGTGTGTGTGTGTGTGTGTGTGTGTTCAGAAAAGAACATGCCACACATGGACAAGATGTGAGAGGTGGTTCTCTCCTTCCACCATGTTGGTTCCGGAGATCAAACTCAGGTCCTCTTGGCAGCAAGTGCCTTTCTTTACCTGTTGCCATCTTGCTGGCTTGTAGTTTCAGACCAGTGGTTCCCAACTTTCCTAATGGTGTGACACCTAATACAGTTCCTTCTGTTGTGGTGACCCCTAACCATAAAATTATCCCATGCCTACCTCATAACTGTAATTTTGCTATTATGAATCTAATGTAAACATCTGATATGCAAGATTTTGATAGGTGACCCCAAAAGGGTTGTGAACCACAGGTTAAGAACCACTGTTTTAAATAATCTTATTATGTAGCTCTGGCTGTCCTGGTCTATATATAAAACTGTAACTATATATATTTATATATATGTGTGTGTGTGTGGTGTGTGTGTGGTGTGTGTGTGTATATACAGATATATATATATATATATCTGTATATACATCTCTTTATATATACATATATATATACATCTGTATATATATCTCTTTCCATATATATATATATATATATATATATATATATATATATGGAAAGAGAGAGAGCGCCTGGTTTTGAAAGCAAGCACCTGCCTCAGCTTCCTGGATGCTAGGGTTACAGGCATGAGACACCATACCAGCTTAAATGTCCACGATTGGCCCTTGCCATACACCTACAGTCTTAACTACTGAGGAAGCTGAGGGAGGAAGTCACCTGAACTCAGGAGTTCAAGGCCAGCCTGTGCAACAATGTGAAAACAACCCAAAAATCAAGAAAGAATAATTAACCTGGACATGGTACACATGTCAGGAGGCTGGGCCAGCAAGAACTCCACGGATTTTAAAGGCACCTTGGCTCCGTGGCAAGTTCCAGGCTAGCCTAGACTACAGAGACAATGCCTCCGAACAAATGTTCTCCTCAAACGGAAGCAGCACTTTGTGAACTCTCTTCAAGAAGGCAGGAGCCACCACCTCTGTGAGGCTGGGCTCTCCCTCCCCCCAGCACATGGTTTCTGTGAGTTTTGTGTTTTTGTGAGTTTTGTGAGGTTATTTAGTTGGACGCAGCATTCCAGTGTTATTGTGGTGCTACATCTCCACAGGCCAGGCTTTTTTTTTTTTTTTTTCTCAATCCTGTTCCTTAGACAGGCTCTCACTATGTAGGTCTGGAACTCCAGGCAATCCTGCTTCAGCCTCTTGTATGCTGGGATTCCAGGTGTATAACCATACAAGATACAACTTTTTTCTTTGATTTTGGAGGAAGACTAGGTCTCACTCTGTAGCTGGCTAGCCTAGAACCTGTATACAGATCAGGCTGATGTTGAACTTGCAGCAATCCTCCTGCCTCCACCTCCTAAATGCTGGGATAATGCGCTCTCACACTAAAGGTGCATTCTTCACAAAAACAGCTTATTTACCTTAAACTAAAACAAAACAATTACCTGGCTATAAGTTGTTGCATTGAGAGAAAATCTGTTTACTGACAGTGTGGGTGTTAGAACCTTGAGCTGGGTGTGGTGGTGCACACCTGAGGGTGAGGCAGGGGGGTTTGAAGTTTAAGGTCATGCTCAGCTACAGAAAAGTGAGGGAAGAAAAATGTAGTAATGACTAAATGGTAGAAAAAATGACCTACTGAAACATCTTGCTGGCCAATGCTGTCTTTGACACAGGGTTTTACTATGTAGCCCAGGCTGGCCTGCGCTTTCTGAGTCAGGGAAACACAGGTGTATACCACATGCTAGACCTACTTGGGTTTTTCTGAGACAAACTCTTGCTACACAGCCATGGCTTGCCTGGGCAATCCTCATGCAAAAGGATTGGCTGAAAAGCTAAACAGCTTAGGAGACATTCTCATTTTCCCCTTCCTCGCTCCCGCCACACAAACACTGAGGTCAGGCAGGGCATTTAGCCCTCTTTGAATGTGCCTGAGGATCTGAGAAGCTGCTGGAGAAATATCACCTTCAGAGTGACCTGTGAGCCTGGCGTGGTGGCGGTGAGCATCTTTAATCCCAGCACTCTGAAGGCAGAGGCAGGCGGGTCTCTCTGAGCTTGAGGCCAGCTGATCTGAGTCCAGAACAGCAGGAAAGCCAGGGCTCTGTTACACCCAGAGGCCCTGTCTCCAAAACAAACAAACAAACAAAAAAAAAAAAAAAAAAAAAAAAGGAAAGAAAAAGACAGCAGGGCCAGAGCTAGAGCCCTGGGTTTGATCCCTAGCTCTCCAGTAACTGATGGGCTCATACTGACTGACACATGGCAGTCATAGGGTCTAGGAAGTCAGGGCAAGCCCTGCTCCTTTGTTTCCACATGGTGGTGTGGGATCCCCCTGGCTTCAGCTTGAGGTCCATGAGAGCAGGACATGACACGTGCCTGTAACACAGCTGGTTCACATGCTCAGAAGCAGCCTTGGCTAGTAAGTTCTAGGTCAGCCTGTGGCAGAGACCTGTCGACTGAAAAAGCACTCACGCACCAGCACACGTGCTGAATGTAAGGCATGTCTCCTGCTGGGTCCCAGTCCAGTGGGTCTTTTGGGGACCCACCTAAACAGTCATCACTTCAGGCCATTCTCCTTCTTACCAAAGATATCTGCTAAGAGGAACTCGGCTCAACGCCAGCTCTAGCTAATGTTTGTGGGGAGGGAAGTTAGGAAAGTGACACCCAAATGAAAAGGTTTCTATAAATGGTGGGGGGACCAGCCCGGGCAGCCAAATCCTGCCTGTCTGCACTGGGCCAGGTCTGCCTGCTGGGGTGGGCTGGTAACAGAGGAGGCTAATCAGAGTGCAATGGCAGGTCCTCGGGAGGCATGGACAGTCCATGCAAGAGCTTAGGTCAAAATGCAGCGGTGATCATAACATTGCCCTCAGGCTTGGACCAGCCAAGGATTGGGTCACTGGGCCAACACCCCTGGGCACTGATAGGGCTTCACTTCACCCGACTGCTAGGATCAATGATGCTCTGAGGACAGATTAAGATGTGCCCTCAAGTGTTGTGGGTTAATGACAGGAACAATCAGAAATTTCCACCAAACTTGGTCCAGAGGCTGAACTCCTGACTAGTGACCCTGGGCCCAGGCCCCTCCCCATCCAACCCCGAGCCTCAGAATGAAGTCCAGGGCA